ATCATATCTGCTACATACAGATCTCTGTCTGTCTGCTCTCTCTCTCTCTCTCTCTCTCTCTCTCTCTCTCTCTCTCTCTCTCTCTCTCTCTCTCTCTCTCTCTCTCTCTCTCTCTCTCTCTCTCTCTCTCTCACACACACACGTCCCCAGGATGCTGCCCGTAGCAGCTCTCTAACTCCCACGTACCTAGGTGAACAGGGGCACCAGGTGAAAAACTCGGCCCCCATTTGTTTCTGCCTAACATTATCCATACATCGGTCTCTTCCTAACACTTTCTTCCCTCATTCCCCACCTCACACCCCACTAATGATCACCACCCCAAACATTTCTCCCCCAATTCCGACCTAATGGCGTCATGTACCATATCGCCAGCCTGCCCCTGCCCCCCCATACCACCCCCCCTGCCCTAACCTACCTCCTGCCCTCCCCCCCCCCCCACGTCCTGCCCTAACCTACCTTCTGCCCTAAATTCTTCTTACCCCCCCCATCCCCTGCCTTCCATAAAACAACACAGCCGAATTCGTCACAGTAACGAGGCTGGAGCAGTTAACAACTCTCAGTAACGAGGTGGTTGGGGGGGGGGGGGGAGGGAGTTAATAAGGAAAGCGGAAAGTTGTGGGGGCAGCATGGAGGATCACTAGTGGAGGGGTTATGAGACGCCCAACAATGGGGGAGTGGAGTATGGATGGGGGAAGACTAAGGGGGTTGATAGTGGTTGTGTGGCAGGTAGTCCTGAAGAATGGGTAGGTGGCAGGTAGTCCTGAAGAATGGGTAGGTGGCAGGTAGTCCTGAAGAATGGGTAGGTGGCAGGTAGTCCTGAAGAATGGGTAGGTGGCAGGTAGTCCAGAAGAATGGGTAGGTGGCAGGTAGTCCTGAAGAATGGGTAGGTGGCAGGTAGTCCTGAAGAATGGGTAGGTGGCAGGTAGTCCTGAAGAATGGGTAGGTGGCAGGTAGTCCAGAAGAATGGGTAGGTGGCAGGTAGTCCTGAAGAATGGGTAGGTGGCAGGTACTCCTGAAGAATGGGTAGGTGGCAGGTAGTCCTGAAGAATGGGTAGGTGGCAGGTAGTCCTGAAGAATGGGTAGGTGCGTGTGGGGGGGGGCGGAGACTACTTGGCTGGGAGTTCGGGTAATCTATTAACTACTAGAAAAAGCGTTCCGTAGTAAAAAAAACCACATAACCCATTATTTTGGTTATGTGGTTTTGAAGTAGGGTAGTTGATCTGTGGAATAAATTATCTTGTATAGTGATAGACGTGGGGGTCACATGGTTGTTTCAAGTGTAGGTTAGACATGCATATGTAGGAATGAGTTTGGGGGTCGATATAAATTGGAGCTGGCTTGTATTTTCCAATAGGCCTTCAGTAGTTTCCTAAAGTCTTAGTTGCTGGTGTGGCGGTGGCAGTACACGCCATTCGGGGGCTGGCAGGTGTGTGTGTGTGTGTGTGTGTGTGTGTGTGTGTGTGTGTGTGTGTGTGTGTGTGTGTGTGTGTGTGTGTGTGTGTGTGTGTGTCTTGTATATTTGACACATGTTTGTGCAGCTGTTGCCACGCTGTGACTGCTGTGCACCACAGCAATGCCCAACCGCACCAGTTCTCTAACCCTGGCTATGCAGCACCGACAAGAGATGCATGTATGCGAGTTAGCATTGTATAAATCTATGGCCACGTCTGTGATAGGGGGGAAAAACTACCAAAAAAACCCACTTATGAAGATTTTAATCATGTTAGGAAAAATTGACTGAATTTATATACAAGTATTAATTTGTGCCCAAAAAATCATTTCTCAAATATGACCAACAGAAACATAGAAAAACATAGAAAGAAAAGGTCATAAACTCGATTTAGGAAGAACACAGGATGTCAAAATAACCTAGCGATGAAGACCAAGCAGAAGCCCGAACACATTAGGAGAAAGTTGAGGGGTTACCTGACCAGGTAACCAGACTTAAGGGGCCGGAACCCAATACTTCACAGTCGGTAATTAGAAGGTATGCGAGATCCCGACTGGAAATTTCTTAAGAGTTACTTAAGAACGAACCGACACAATTACCAGCGATTTGGCAAGACAACACGAGTACGCTTACCCAGGAACTTGGCTACGTCCAGACACCGACAAGTGACGTGGTGACTCTCCACTCGAAGGGTAATGGTCCTTGACCGTTCTGAGTTGCTGCAGCAACTTGTCTGGCAAATTTCGATTAACTAGTCGATTTCTCTCCGGGAACTGCTGTCCGGTATAGAACTATTTGCGAGAAGAGTCACCGGCAATTCTAACTACTCTGAAGGGATCAACGTCTTCCGTTCCGAGGGACGCGGGTAACTCCCTCACTCTCCCCTGAGAGAGAGAGGGAGGGAGAGAGAGGGAGGGAGAGAGAGAGAGGGAGGGAGGGAGGGAGGAAGGGAGAGAGAGAGAGAGGGAGAGAGAGAGAGAGGGGAGGGAGGAGCAGCAGGTAGCTCCTTCAATCTCCCCTAAGTGACGGGACCTTACAGTGGAGGGCCTCGGGCAGTAGAAGAGAACCCCCGAGACCCTCTCCAGGTATGCCCCAGGTAAAGGCTACCATGCGGGAGGAAGGCAGTGGGAGCTGTGAGCGAACACTGACCACCTCTGCGCCTCAGACAGACAGACAGACAGACAGACAGACAGACAGACAGACAGACAGACAGACAGACAGACAGACAGACAGACACACAGACACACAGACACACAGACACACAGACACACAGAGACAGACACACACACACACACACACACACACACACACACACACACACACACACACACACACACACACACACACACACACACACACACACACACACACACACCAAGGAGTGTGTGTGTGTGTGTTATTCCTCCAAGGAGTGCCGGACCAACCGGGCTGTGGTGGGTATGTGGGCCTGCGGGCCGCTCCAAGCAACAGCCTGGTGGACCAAACTCTCACAAGTCAAAGCCTGGTGGACCAAACTCTCACAAGTCAAGCCTGGCCTCGGGCCGGGCTTGGGGAGTAGAAGAACTCCCAGAACCCCATCAACCAGGTATCAACCAGGTAACACCACACACACACACACACACACACACACACACACACACACACACACACACACACACACACACACACACACACACACACACACACACACACACACACACACACACACACACACACACACACACACACACACACACACACACACACACACACACACACACACACACACACACACACACACACACACCGCTCCACTACCAGCGATAACAAGACGGATGAACATACTGAAGACAGTAATTGGCACACGGCATCTATAAGCCAATGAAGGGTGGAGATTATCTTAATATATTTGTGTCTAACGAACGAAAAATGTTAAAATAACAAATAGGAAAAGTCAAGTAAGGCTCCCTGAAGGCTACCTGAAGGCTACCTTAAGGTTACCTTGAGACTACTGCCTAGTGGTTCCGAGTACCATCTCAGCGCTGACAAGTATAGCGTCTGGGAGAGAAAGCTAACATAACACATACCAGCTAAACAACGCTTAAGTTGGTAATCTCATTGTCAAAATGATTTGAGTTATGATTGGGAGATATAATGAACAACCTGATATCATAATAGACAGAAATAACCATGCGATATCCTTAAGAACACAAATAAAGATGTATAGCTTGGACAACACCTGTCGGCCCATGTGAGGCAGGTGTTTACATCCCTTCACACCCGTAATCCCGCGGCCCATCCACCCACAATTCATCAATCTGCAACCCATCCATCCATCCGTTCTCAAATCAAACAGTCCTATTTATAAATAAGCATTTACTCTGTTCATTTCTAAATCAAAACCAGGTGTGTGGGTGCCGGGTGACCTGCAGATGTGAGGTGGACCACATATATGTTTGTTAAGAACGTGATGACTTTGTAGCCAGTTGTCAGTGACGAGAATGTTGGACACATAGAGTTCATCCACGTGATAACTTGTCGTGCAAGCAGGGTTGATGTAGTGGACCGAGCTCCGAGCTGTTTGAATGGGTTCAATATTCATAGTGTTACAAGTCGTACCTGAAGTGTCTTCAGGACGTGAAGGCTATTATTAAGGCGGATTACTTTGACGTTGTAATGAAAGTTCATGTTTACAGCACTGATTATACGTCTGTGAATCTGCTCGTCTGTGCTGTGCGATTCTATGGTCTGTGTTTACTAGTTGTGTTTTTGCGGGGGTTGAGCTTTGCTCTTTCGGCCCGCCTCTCAATTGTCAATCAACTGCTTACTAACTACTTTTTTTTTTCTTTTTTTTTCGCACACCACACACACACACCCCAGGAAGCAGCCCGTGACAGCTGACTAACTCCCAGGTACCTATTTACTGCTAGGTAACAGGGGCACTTAGGGTGAAAGAAACTTTGCCCATTTTGTTTCTGCCTCGTGCGGGAATCGAACCCGCGCCACAGAATTACCAGACCTGCGCGCTATCCACCAGGCTACGAGGCCCCCATACCATCTGTGTATCTGTTGATCTGTAGGTCCCATGGTCTGTTGGTTAACAGTATCTGCATCTGTTGCTTTGTGTGTGTGTGTGTGTTGGTCCGTTACTGTTCCGTCATCTAAACGGGTTTATAGATATGTATCAAAAGCATTATTTCTCTAACATAACATGTGCAGCTGGTAATATAATGTTGACTCACTCTGCTCGTACAGTTTGGGGCCTTAGTGGGTCTTCTCTCATCCTTCAACAAGCTTATAGTTCAGAAGCCAAAAGCTGCTTCGCAATTACATGCTGGTGTTTTCCCTGTTGAGTTGGTTAATGTTTTCTTTCAGTACTTCCAAGAGTACAACTGGGATAGGCGGTGTTCTTGTCAGGGACAATAATGGTTTTGGCTGTACTCTAAATTACATTCTGTAGAGTAGGAAGGTTCTGACGCCACAGAGCGCAAGGAGTGAGCACAAGGTACCCCTCACGGCAGGATTCTCCACAGGCAGTAACCTTCCCTGCGTGCCTTGTTCCCTCCCACAGCAGGAGTGACCATGGGCGTCCTGGTGACCAGATGAGGGGTGTAAGGGCGGCGCCGCGGCCCTGCCTTCACTACGGGCCCTGTAGGAGTTGTGTGGGAGTCCTGTAGGAGCCATGGTGGGAGTCACCCGCCCTGGGCCCCCACATCGCCGGCTCCCGTCCGCCAGACGCACCTCAAGATGCACGATGAGTCCGGCGGACGGCTAAAACACCCTCATGGATTCGCTAAATTCTGACGTGTATTATACAAGACTTCTAGTGCCATATAGAGAGATTATAGAGCTATATAGATAATATATATATAGATATATATATATACATATAATATATGCAAGAGTGTATATGAGTGTGGTGGTGTAGAGGGGATGGCCCGTGTGCTGGAGCCAGCTTACCTCCTGTTGGCCCTCTGTGCCGCCTTTGCCTCCGGCTGGGCCGACAAGTCCACCGACTTCATCAAGGGCAAGAGTGAGTATAGACGTGTGTGTGTGTGTTGGACCCGAGGTCGACCTTCGAGGCCGAGGCTGGACACGAGGTAAGTGTGCACTCTTGAAGACCGAGTGTGAGGAACCCTCTCCTATGGTTTTGTTTATGTAGTTGGAACTAGAGTCAGCAGACTTATTCACAGGGACTTGGGACCCTTGTTGGTGTCAGGTAAGCTACTGTTACTTGTTGTTTGGATCATGCAGTTCAAATATATTTTTATGCAACTATTTGTAGAATTGTAATCAGCAAAAATACTCAACAATAGGCCTATTGACCCGTGAGTGGTATGGCCAGTTTACACCTAGTTACCTTTAATGCTAATTGGGACATTGTTCCACCTATTCACAACTCATCTTTGCCCAAATAATGCTTGTCTGTATTATAATATAAACGTCCACTTAACAAACTGTTACGGTGTTCTGCCGATCTGTTTATTATTTAATTTACTTATGTTCAACAATATGTTTTATCCCCATGTTTATGCCTTTGATCCATTTGTGCACATCTGCCTTATCACCCATCTCTGTATGCCTCTCTAGGACATGTAACCTCACTTTTAATGTCTTCGTAAGCAAAGGAATATCTGTAGATTGAGGTAACCAAAATTGCTCCACGTAAACCAGTCATTTTTGCTAGAGGAAGTAAGATATTTGCTTTCTTTTAGAAGTCTTTCTATAGATATCAAGCAGGATAGAATCACAAGTAATCATAAAATAAGGCGCCAAGCCGGGAAGACTGTGTAGCACCGTCCATGTCGCGGGATATTCAAAAGCCGCTAACTATCACAGGAGCCAATACGAGAACAAAAGAACATAAGGGTAGATCACAAATCCTTTTGTCTTTATTACGTACGTGTTGTATTGACAACAGGTCTTGAATCATCCTTATTCCGTGGGCATATTATGCAGTTGGATTTACTGATATTTTCATTGTAACTTTCCCCAAACATGAAGGATATTTAAGGCCCTCCTTCGTATCCTTTGCGCCAAAAAGCTTCTTATACTTTAAGAATAATGTATATCTCGGGGACTGTATCCTGGGGCGCGGCTCCTATGAATGCTTCCATGCTGCGCAAGCCTGGTTCCTGTCCTTAGCCCATGACCCGTAATAGTTTCTGGTAATAATGCAAAAATAACCCTGTTGACCAGACCACACACTAGAAGGTGAAGGGGCGACGACGTTTCGGTCCGTCCTGGACCATTCTCAAGTCGAAATTCGACTTGAGATTCGGAAGATCACACATTGGGCAAATTTGGAAGATCACACATTGCATTGCTAAAGTTTCCTGCCACGTCCATTCCTTAGTGGGTACGGGTTTCATTTGGCATTCATTTCTAGAGTCGATTTGATGATTCCGATGCAGGTCTTTTCACTCGTTAAATATTTTAGAGTTTTTGGCATTATATAGATACGACTAAGATTATTCATGTACCCAAGTTCTCAAGTGTCAAGTAAGGTGATCCCAGCGCTGTGTAAGAGCTGCTTGACGCCATCGTGGTCGTAGGCAGCCAACTTGATAAAGAAACTTTCATCTTGACGTCTGAGAGTATTGAATAGCCTCCTGGAGAAGCAAAGTGGTGTAACTTGACGCCTGCTGTCACTTGCCCGAGGCCACCACCCAACCTCATTGGTCAGATAAGATCGCCTCTTTATGTAACGCCTTGTCTGATTGGCAGCGAGTTTCAGAATATTCACCAATTGAACCTTGATCATATTTGAATATCCTGATGATGTTGAATACCCGGATGATTTTCAAAATGTTTTGTTTAAATACAGCATTGACGGTTCTGATGGGGAAACTTCGCTGGGCATCTGCTGTGTGTGACCATCACGAAAAAGCGCGCGAAGCCTCCTGATTGGCGGAGGGCGAACCTGAGCTCCCGCGCTGTCGTCACACGAGCCGCGTTGACTCACAAGTGGCCGGGCCGGTGGCCAGGCGGGCGGGCTGGTCTTCCATCCTTACAGCACGGGAAGCCTTCTCCTCCTCTTATCTCCATTGTTATGATGCTCCGGGGATATGCCCAAGTGCTCCGTATTCAGTAACCCGTAAAAAATGTTTGTATTGAGAAAACAGTCGACTACAACCCATTTGTAATATCAATGGTAGAAGAACTCTCGAAATCAACAGGTCAAACGTATTATACGCCTAAATCGACAATGTTCCCCAAACAACTTGGCAAAGTTCACAATAATCCCGTCCGAGAGCAGACAATAATCCCGTCCAAGCAGACAATAATCCCGTCCGAGAGCAGACAATAATCCCGTCCGAGAGCAGACGCGTAGTATCCTAACTTTCAACGGTACAGCATTTGAGAATATTTACATTGTCTGGGGGCGCAGGCTCATGGTCACTCACCAGTTTCGCGCAGTTGACCGTGGGAGAGCAGTCATCGCCCACACCCAGTCGTGTAAATGTTCCGGGAACCCACTAGGGATACCTAGTTAAGATGCGGTCTCGGGTAACCGGTAATCCACTGTGGTTGTCTCAAGCAACTGGGTCACCCGTAGGGTGACTTTAAGCGCCGTTCTAGACAGTTGCTCGTCTCGTCACCTTTGATATTATATTTATCTGAGGAAAGTGACGACATATTAGCATCCTGTGCCACAACTGGTGAGGAAAGTGACGACGTATTGTCGTCTTGGAGCACCGCTGGTGAGGAAATGAGGTAACAGCGTCTACTGTCTTAACGTCCACGACGGGTTATGTTGACGGTGTCTTGAGGAGTTCGCCGCGCCGTCTGCCACCTGTCCTGTCTTGGGTCTGACGTCACGCCACAGAACATGGTTCAATCCATTCTATAATTAATTTACAATTCAAGACTTTGGTGAGGCCGTCTTGTGGCGAGGCTGTGACGCCATATGACCTGGAGCGACGCCATATGACCTGGAGCGACGCTCCGGGTCATATGGCGCTTTGTTATTCGTCAAAAACAACACTCAAAATGAATAAAAATTGGCTTCATAATGTTTACTGAGATGCCGTATATCAGTTAAATATTATATACTTTGCTAAATCTAATTGCGAGGTGGAACTGGCAGTGGCGATTGGTAGAACTTGAAAGAAAAATAAAAGAAAAACTCTACAAGACATGGTCAAGTACGGGACAAGGACTGTTATCCCCAGACAGAGCAAGTAATGTACATTATGCGGGACATGGAAGAGTTTTGGTTACCTATACAAGGCTTGTAAAAATATTTTGACAAATATAGAGATGGCGGGTGACTCGCGGTTAATCCCGGACATTACACCATCTTGTGGAAGAGACTAAGACAGCTCGCCTAACAGTTTGGTAGTGATTCGTGACATCATTCAAGTGGACAGATGGGATGAGAGGGTTTAATGTGAACCATGTAAATAAAATATTTTTAGATTTAAACACTTGAGAAAGGCTGGTTAGAAATGGGCAGAACAAGTTATTGGGTGTAATTAAAAAGGCCACCCGACCTTACTTTGTGATGGTACGGGAATCACAGTCCCCCGTGGCCAGGCCTCCCGGTTGGTGGTCTGGTCTTGTAAATCAGTTGTTATTAACACATTTAGGTACATGTTCATTTGTGCAGCTGCCCTAGACTATATGAAGGGGAGTACAGTGTGTCAAAAGCTAGCTATGTGATGGAAAAATCCCCACCAAAGGGGGTTAGGTGCCGCTGCTCGCAGTCTACGTAGAAATCACATACAAGATGAAACATTGCTGGAGAGACACAAGAGTTAGGAAGGTTGTGTCGCACAGTAGACGCCTTGCGTGGAGCAGTAGGCTTTCTGTACTTTGACTTAGTTTTGGGTTCTTACTTGCAGTTATATTATTAAATATGGCTTTGAAATACACCCCCGTTCTCAGTTTTTCCCGTATGGTTCTTAGAGATCCTTCAGAGTGGGTGAGGCCACTCCAGACCGACAACCAGAGCGCAACTCCATAGTCTCCTGAGACTGATGGATGCCTACCAGGGACCCACACTGACAGACTTCGTCCCCCCAACACGACCTTCACTAACGGCTGTCTGTCCTCCTTCTTGCCCTACAGTATGCATCGGGACGACGGGCCGCATGTCGGTGCCCTCCAACCGGGACCACCACTACCGCAACCTCCGGGACCGCTTCATCAACTGCACCTACGTGGACGGTAACCTGGAGCTCACCTGGCTCCAGGACGAGAACCTGGACCTCTCCTTCCTGCAGTACATCCGCGAGGTGAGTGAGCCTTCTTGTGGGTGCTGACGTCTGGTGTTGATGTTGACTGCAGGAGTTAATAGAGACCGTCTCCTAGTGATGATTGACACTATATATATAATTGAGATGCCGTATATCAGTTAAATATTATATACTTTGCTAAATCTAATTGCGAAATGGAAATGGAAAATCTTGTTATTCGTCTGTGAATTCGTGTATGTCCCTCTACCTCCCGCACATGTAGTAAAGCCACGACTATAGCGTGAGGTGTGATGGTCTCCCCTACAGGTGACCGGGTACCTGCTCATCTCCCACGTGGACGTGAAGAAGATCGTGCTGCCCTCTCTACAGATCATCCGAGGCCGGACGCTCTTCAAGGTGTCCGTCAACGACGAGAGCTTCGCCCTCCTCGTCACACTCTCCAAGATGCACACCCTGGAGATGCCTGCTCTCAGGGGTACGTGTGTTCCCCTGGTTGGGGAGATGGGGGAGGTGTGTTCCCCTGGTTGGGGTGATGGGGGAGGTGTGTACCTCTTACACACTGGCTAGGGTGATGGGGGAAGGTGTGTACCTCTTGCCCACTGGTTGGGGAGATGGGGAAGGTGTGTACCTCTTGCCCACTGGCTGGGGTGATGGGGGAAGGTGTGTACCTCTTGCACACTGGCTAGGGTGATGGGGGAAGGTATGTACCTCTTGCCCACTGGTTGGGGAGATGGGGAAGGTGTGTACCTCTTGCCCACTGGCTGGGGTGATGGGGGAAGGTGTGTACCTCTTGCCCACTGGTTGGGGAGATGGGGAAGGTGTGTACCTCTTGCCCACTGGCTGGGGTGATGGGGGAAGGTGTGTACCTCTTACACACTGGCTAGGGTGATGGGGGAAGGTGTGTACCTCTTGCCCACTGGTTGGGGAGATGGGGAAGGTGTGTACCTCTTGCCCACTGGCTGGGGTGATGGGGGAAGGTGTGTACCTCTTGCACACTGGCTAGGGTGATGGGGGAAGGTATGTACCTCTTGCCCACTGGTTGGGGAGATGGGGAAGGTGTGTACCTCTTGCCCACTGGCTGGGGTGATGGGGGAAGGTGTGTACCTCTTGCCCACTGGTTGGGGAGATGGGGAAGGTGTGTACCTCTTGCCCACTGGTTGGGGAGATGGGGAAGGTGTGTACCTCTTGCCCACTGGCTGAGGTGATGGGGGAAGGTGTGTACCTCTTGCCCACTGGTTGGGGAGATGGGGGGGGGACTGGGGAAGGGATACACCCATCACACATTCCCAAACACAGTCAGACAGCAGGGAGGGAGGAAGACAAGGTGGGAAAATTGAGCGTAGTGGGATTATTGTTGCTGTTGTTGTCAAGGATGACCCGCTATATTAGGCGGGTGGAATCTTAACAGCGCAAGTTGGCTCTCCAGTCTATATTTATCTTTTGATATTTGTGTGTGTATGTGTTTATATGTATGTATGTATGTGTGTGTTTATATGAAAGTGTGTGTGTGTTTATATGGATGTGTGTCTTCTGTCTTTCATTACACAACCTCCAAGAGATAATCGTGACACACGCCCAACTTTCTCCGTCACGCCCACGCCCTCCCTCCCTCCCTCCCTCCTTCCCCTGCCCCTCACTACTTCTCATCCTTCCCTTCCACCTTGTCCAACACTACCTCGCTGGTTGCACTTCCTCTCCTGCCCCCTTACTCCCCCTTCTCCTGTATCCCCTTCGCTGCCTCTCTTCTCTATTTCACATCTACCTTAATCCTCACGATTTCTCCTCGTCCTTCACCTTCTTAGTTCTTCCATTCTTTGTGTTTAAATCATGTTTTCCCCACGTTCTTATTCTCCCCCCCCCCACACACACACACACACGTCTGGTACGGTTGTAGACGTGTGTGTGTGTGTGTGTGTGTGTGTGTGTGTGTGTGTGTGTGTGTGTGTGTGTGTGTGTGTGTGTGTGTGTGTGTGTGTGTGTGTGTGTGTGTGATGGTCGGCTAGTGCATGGCTTCCTTCCCAATGGCTGCTTATCGTACAAGACATTGTGAGTGGAGGAAGTCTAGCGTCTTCCACTTGTTCACTAAGCAGTGTTTCTTATTTCCCTGTGACTAATCTGGAATAGTTCCCGCCCGCGTCCTCTTGCCTTTCCCCTGATTATGATGTCTGTGCAGTTTTTGTCCGCTATGTCAGTTCCTTGAAGAATTTTTTATGTTGTGATCATGTTACTTCTGTCCCGTCTCTATAGCCCTAGCAATATCAAGCCTCTTAAGCTTTTTTTATAGAACTTTTTTTAACGTAAAACCAAACATGATCAAATAACATTGAAAAGCAATCATTTAACCTGATCATTGATCAATGAAATTATTAACATATATCTTGAAGAACATTACTCTTTGCCTCCTGCTGGGTAGATATTCTTTTACCCAGTTCAACGCCATTCCCGTTCCTCTTATTTGCTATCCAAGCTAGTACAAAAAGCCTACTGTGTGGTACTGTGCCGATGGCTTTCTGGGTGTTCTGGAAAATGCAGTCAGCCCATCGTCCTCTTTCCCGCTTGGATGTCGTCTAATGCATTAACTCAACCTTCGTTCATTCTTATATTTAATTTTGGAACGAGTTTAGCTGCAAACTTCTGCCTTTCCCAGTTTCCTTTGTGGGTTTTTGAGGTGAGAACTCCACACCGGGTCTGCTGACTTCAGGTCCGACCTAACAAAAGTTGTGTACTATAGAGGGGTGCGGGTCCGTGTTTTTTCAAACCACTTGTGTGCATAGTGATGATCGTGTCTGTTGCCAGCATACTGATAAGTGTGCTCCATACGTAGCACCCACACTTGTAGCTAGCTCCACGTACCTGTCGAACACAGCGGTCTTGTAGCCCTGGGGCCTCTCCGGTGAGCGACCGTTTCACCACACTGACGATTTCTTTATGTTTCAGATATCCTGCAGGGGAGTGTTGGGGTGATCAACAACTACAACCTGTGCCACATGGAGACCATCGTCTGGAAGGAGATAATGTCTGACGCCAGCGCCCAGTACATGTTCGTATACAACTTCACGGAGCCGCAGAGGACGTGTCACTGCGACAAGGCATGCAAGAAGGGTTGCTGGGGTGAAGGGGAACATAACTGCCAAAAGTTTAGCAAGTTGACGTGCTCGCCCCAGTGCAGCCAGGGGCGCTGCTATGGTCCGGGCCCTCGAGACTGCTGTCATCTTTTCTGCGCTGGCGGCTGCACTGGGCCCACCCAGCGGGACTGTCTGGTGAGCAATATTACCCTCTGGGCACAGCGTCATGCTAGGATAAAGTTCCGATTGACAGGCATACTCTCCCACCCACTCATACACAGCCTCTACCCAGATAGCTATGCCTCCATAGCTGTAGCTATGCCTCCATATCACATGTATAAGACTGACTAGTATGGAAGCTCCTAATCAAATAAGGAAGATAACAGGCTGTACCACGAGACATTTGTCATACTGGACGGTGTACACAGGGTGTATGTTATCCCCACTCCCCACACTAAGTGAGAATCAGTCTGAAAGGACTACTGTGAAAACAGCTGCTGTTAAGACTACCGAGTTATCCTTGGACAACCAAGGCTAACTAATATTTTACTTGGGACCAAAGACCATTTGATGTCCATAAATCCTTATAATCTTATGTTATCTTTAAGTAATCAGGTTCTGCAGAATGATAGGTACTTCATATGGCCGTCTACCTCCCCCCCCCATCTTTCTCAGGCAGTATTACCAAGATGACTACCATATAAATGAGGCCTCAGAGCTCATTGTACATAATACATTCACACTACCGTCCATACTCAGCCTCTGAACTATCTATAGCACACCTCCACAGTCCAGCATCCAACGCATCCCTGGATAATGACTCCTGACGAATCTTCTAGCGTTGCAATAAGCTCATACGGTGGTGGTTCCTAGGGGTTCTGCACTTGTCCTTTCAAGCGACAACAGTTTACTGGAATCACTAGTTCACACAATTTACAGCCGGGCTTCATATTTAGAGCCAGATATATCCACGGCCGCACTCGGACTGTGTGCTGGTGAATCTCAACAAAAGGCTGCTGGATTTACAATGTATTTGTAGAATATTGTCAAACGTGAATAATGTCAATTTTGTTGTACTTAAGTCAGCTTGACTATATTCGAAGGTGTGGCTCTGAAAGGCGCCTCAATCACTATCAATATAAACAGTAAACATTCCGTAAAGCTAATTAACAATAAAACCTGACAATAAACCCACAATATAATGATAATCTATACTTGAGAAATAATTGTAACTTACGGATGTTATCCTGTCAGTCGGCTGCCAGACGTATTATTAATCTTAATTCCCGTTATCGTAATGGCTTGGCTCTTTCTTCTGATAATTCCCCTCTCTTCCCGTTATTGGTGGTGGTGATGTTTTAGATTCACCAACTCGGAACCAAAAGTTCCAAGTAGCACGGGCTATGGTGAGCCCGTAGTGTACTTACCTGGCACAGGAGCGGGGCAAGTAGCACGGGCTATGGTGAGCCCGTAGTGTACTTACCTGGCACAGGAGCGGGGCAAGTAGCACGGGCTATGGTGAGCCCGTAGTGGACTTACCTGGCACAGGAGCGGGGCGGTGACTCTTATATATTGGTGATAGGAAGCCTGCATTTACATACTTTAGGCTTCTATCTAGGTCCCCCATTTCCAAGGTCTGACTAGAGGCATTAGGTGAAAGGAAACGTGCCCAACCATTCCTATCACGCATGGGAATCGAACCTGGGATCCCCGATTGTGAGTCATAGAAAATAAAACCCGAGCCAAAGTAAAATTACCACGTCATGGTGACGTCACAGCCTTGTGCCTGCCATATATAAAATAAAACAAAATGTTGTCTTAGTTTGGCAAACAAACGTCGACGTTTTCGGGTTGGGGAGTAGAAGAACATTCAGAACCCCATCCATGCACAAACATCTGTGTGTGATGTACAAACATCTGTGTGTGATGTACAAACATCTGTGTGTGATGTACAAACATCATTTGGAGATGGAATATAGATAACGGTCTTAACACTGATATAACATACTTAAAACAGCAGTGATAGTGCCATTCCACAAAGGAGAAAGACCACAAGGCAGGTGAAAAAAAATATTGGCTAATAGCACACATCATAACAATCATAACATAACAATAATAACATCACACATCATAACAATCTTTGAAAGATTGGTGAGAGAAACTAAGTACAGGCGAGAGAAATACTTATTAATTCACAGTTTAAAAATAATAGCGGGACTGGTTCCAAATCAGTACAAGGAAATATCACCTCACCAGATCATGTTATGGTAAAAAATGCAAAATACTTACTGTTAAAAAGTAGAGGTGCAATAGGTACGTTAAGAGAGACATCTATCGACATCAAGAGGCTAAGACTTTTCAAAAGAAAACTAGATCAGACTACAAGAAGCTGCATCTAACAGCCTGGTTGACCAGACCACCAACCAGGAGACCTGGTCATAGACCGGGCTCCAGGGGACATTGATTCTTGGAACTAACACTGTAGGTAAACCTGGTTTTGGTGGGTAGTGGTCACCAGCACTTAGTGTTGGAGTCTTGAGATGGTCACCAGCACCTGGTGTTTGAAGGAGGGCGCGTGTGTGTGTATAGGGGGGGGGGGGTACGGTCCACCATTGCTGGTCCTCTTGCCTGAGTGGTTGATTGCCAGGTGTAAGTTAACTGCCAGCCCCAAGTGTCGATGGAAAAAACCCACAAGAGGCGTATCCAGAATCAGGATGTCTTAAAAGCTCATTTGAATATGAATAGAATCAGACTGACCACTTGCCAATTAGGCAGGGCAGTCTCCACCTGCTGTCCTGTGGCAGGCAGACCAGTTAGCTCGTGAGCACATATACACACACACACACACACTAACTCACTCACTCCCCACCACTACTCACGTCGCTGGAAGACAGAAGAACTCGGGGAGACATGATCACCACATACAAAATTCTCATGGGAATAGACAGGGGTAGACAAGGATGGATTATTTAACACGGGTGGTACACGCACAAGGAGACATAGGTGGAAGCCGAGTACCCAAATGAGCCACAGAGACATTAGAAAAAAACCTTTTCAGTGTCAGATTATTAGCCTCATAATGGTCAATCGGTCAACAATCAGACAATGTATCTGACTGGAAGAATGTTACTAGCAGAGTACCACAGGGTTCTGTTCTTGCACTAGTAATGATCAAGTAACCTTGATAATTCTCTCTTCCCACACAGTATTCAAGTTCAAGCTAGTTTATTGAGATAATAAAATACATCTCAAAATAATAGAGTAGCTATTTACCCTCAACTATATAGTATTTCCACCCCTCAACTGTTTAAGGTGCTAGTGTTATTGTCATTGCCTCTCCTCCCCACACCAGTGTTATATATTGCATTTTCCATCACCACATATCAGTATTGCATTATTGCCTCTTGCATTGCCTCCCCACACCAGTGTTTCTGTATAATTGCCTCTTATATTGTGGCATCCACTAAACCTCTTCTCCTTTCACCAGGCCTGCGGCAACTTTTATGATGACGGGGAATGCAAGCTCGAGTGTCCACCGATGCAACGCTATAACACCATCACATACTCATGGGAGACAAACCCTAATGGCAAGTATGCTTATGGGGCCACTTGTGTGAAGAACTGCCCAGAACACCTGCTGAAGGACAATGGAGCCTGTGTCAGATCCTGTCCAAAGGGAAAGAAGGCCGTGGATGGCGAGTGTGTGCCTTGCAGTGGGCCATGTCCCAAGACCTGCCCAGGAGATAAGTTTATAAATGCTGGAAATATCGATACTTTCAAAGGGTGTACAATTTTTGATGGCTCCCTCACCATCATGGATCACTCCTTTGATGGGTACCAGAACGTGTTTCCTAATTATACTTTTGGGGAGAAGTACCCGAGGATGCACCCATCAAAGCTGGAGGTGCTCAGCACACTCAAGGAAGTGACAGGTTATATCAACATTCAGGCAACACATCCAGAGTTTACTAATCTCTCCTTCTTGAGGAACTTGGAGGTGATTGGTGGTCGGGTCCTAACAGAATATTTCTCCTCTCTATATATCATCAAAACGTCACTTAAGAGTCTTAATCTTAGGTCATTAAATAGAATTCGGTCTGGGAAAGTTTGTATTCTGGAAAATAAAGAACTATGTTTTATAGAGAAGATAAACTGGAAAAAATTCATCGGTAATGGGGACGACACTAAGGCAAACTCACTGACACTGTTGCAGAACAATGCAGACAGTGAGCAATGTATGGCTGAGGGCTTGGTGTGTCACAACGAGTGTAGTGATGAGGGATGCTGGGGTACCGGTGAAAATGAGTGCCTGTCGTGTAGAAACTTCAAGTTAGGTGAACGATGCCTTAACAACTGTAACATTTCTGGAATTTACCAGATCGATAAAAAAGTATGTGGTTTCTGTCACGAAGAATGTGCCAGTAGTTGTCATGGACCAGATTCCAGCCACTGCAACCAATGCGAGAATGTGAAAGATGGACCGTACTGTGTGGAGAGATGCCCAGATACCAAATATAATGATAACGGTGAGTGTAGGTTATGTCATGAAAACTGTGTTGGTGGGTGTAATGGTCCTGAAAATACTATAGGAAAACATGGGTGTACATCATGCAAGAAAGCTGTGATCAATGGGGACCTGGAGGTGCAATACTGTCTGTCTGAAAATGAATCCTGCCCTAATGGGTATTTCTCTGAGTGGGTGGTGCATCAGGAAACTGGAGACCTGAGAAGACTAGCAGGGAAGACCATCTGTCGACGCTGTCACCCGCGCTGCAAAAACTGCACAGCCTATGGCTTCCACATTAGTGTATGCCATGAGTGTGTGAGCTACAGGAGGGGAGAGCACTGTGAGGACGAGTGTCCCCAAGACCACTATGCTGATGAAAAGCTCCACGAGTGCTTCAAGGTAAGTTATTCCTTTCTTTTTAAATTTATTTCATGCCTTGAAAGACATTATTACTATATAAGTTTTAACAATAATAAAATTCTAGCACAATTGGCCATCTTTCCTGTTCCTGCGCTGTGTCTATAATTTAATTTGTGTGTGCACCAATTCATAAGGTTTTAAGTAAATTCTCTCATTAATCATTTAATTTCCTCCTCCATAAACACAGTGCTCATCAGAATGTTCCAATGGGTGTTCTGGGCCGCTGGAGTCAGAGTGCCAGACGTGTCGCAACTACAGGATCTACCTGGATGGGGAGCCTGGTATGAACAACACAAAGTTCACCTGCACTGCTTTCTGCCCATCTGAACTGCCTTACAAGATCTTTCCAGAAGATGCCTCTGATCCTTACTGTGGCAAGGACCCACTGCCACTCCCAATGTAAGTTGTTCATTTATTTAAGGAAATGCAATTTTAATTGTCATAAGAATAAGTAAACAAAATAAGAAAGTGTAAAAGTGGCCAACTTTAGCAACTATTGGTTCATTTTGAGTTCTTTATTCAATGTCAGTTCAGATTTAGATATTTTATTAAAAGTAGTTTTAAAAAGAAACTAAATACATGTAGATAAAACCATATGTGGTTGTACTGTATCTGCATTTATTCATCTGTATCCATTTAGGTTTTGGTGGTTCAGAAATAATTAAATTTAAATATATTTAATAAAATACTGTAATTAGGGAAACAAAAAGTACGAAAATAAGTATAGTACTATGTATATATTAATAAAAAATATCATCTTGTTATATTATTTGAGAATATAGCAAATTATTTATCAATTTTGTAAACAAATGACAGCACATACTATAACTGACCAAACATACAAGTCAGTAATACATAAGCACAGGACATAATGAGCTACATTACTGACAGGGACGACGAGAGCATCCCAGCTATCTTGGGAGGGACTCTTGGCTGTGTGTTTCTGCTGTGCACCTTCCTGGCAGTATTCTGCTACTTGTGGTGGCAGCGCAACAAAACCAAAGAGGCGGCACTCAAGATGACTATGACCATGATGCCCTATGACGACAATGAGCCCCTCAAGCCCACCAACATAAAACCAAATTTGGCTAAACTGCGAATCGTGAAGGAGGCTGAGCTGCGCAAGGGTGGAATTCTGGGCTATGGTGCTTTTGGGACTGTGTATAAGGGTGTCTGGGTTCCAGAGGGAGAAAATGTCAAGATTCCTGTGGCTATCAAGGTTTTGCGAGAAGGTATGTTAGTGAATAGTTTTGAGCATGATTTATGATGTGTACTTGCATTTGCATGCATTAATTGAATTAAGCTTTACATTAAGGATTAATTCTATAGGGGGTTTCACAGCTGAAAATTGTATGAATTAGAAACTAATGCATTTGAACTGATTAACAGCTTGATTTAAAGTGTTTGAACACAAAATACTTTACTGTATTTAAAACTTGTTTGCATAAAGGAAGAATGTGTAAACCTTGCATAATTGCAACTATTTCGAGGTTATTAGAAGACAAACCAAACATTAGATATGGTAAATTTATCTCAAGTTCATAACCATCTTGAATATTTTTTTCTTAAAAATGAAATAGAACTTTTATAATTGGTCAGTAGCTTGACTAATAGTGGTGTCTATAATCTCAGAATCAGAAACTTCCTTCCGTATAACAAAGTTCAGTTTGATAGCACCAACTAGTGGCTAGTGTTTGTATTTTATTATTCACATTTTTTATTAATATATTAATTCCATGCAGTATTTGAGAAAATTATAGCACAGGTGTTTCATAATATAAGCCAATGTCTCCATTCATATGCTTTCTTAAAAGTAAAGACAAAGATAACTAAATAAACTATGAAGAACAACATGACCAGGAGTTGATGTTAAAACAGTGGATTGTAAATAAGGTACAGTACTGCCGGTCAGTAACCTGAATCAATTACTGCACTAGTATTTTGTATTTAATTTTGTTTTGACAAGAATTATTACCCAAGCTACAATTTTTTTTAATATGGTCTTAATCATGAAGAGTACTTGTGTTTACATTTTGAGTAGAATATAGTTTGTATTTTTTGTGTGACTAGTTACCATTTTAAGTTATTCTTGTCTAATATTGGGCATGCTTAAATTTTCTGGAATACCGTGGAGATTGTTCCATTATTTTGTACTCAAGCTTTAGCAATCATAGTTTTACCTTTAATGAAATGGAGCAAAAAAAAAAAAAAAACTGTTGGACAAGCTTACAAGAGTTTATAGGACATCTTCGGTGGGGTTTTTTAATCCATAAAAGTAGGCCTACCATCTGTATTTTTTTATTGACAAGTTTGCCAAATTTCTGCATTTAATTTTGTTATACTGTATATGCTGTATTTATAATTTTAATAAATGCAAGACACTGTTTATAATAAATAATGTGCATCTGGCTGATGTATTTATCAGCCAGATGCACAGATGATTGAGAGATACGGTAATGCCAAATATTATTACAGTACTGTATACACATTCTGAGACTCCCAAATGTTATGACAAAGATGTTCTTTCACTTACACATCCAGGAACTGGAACTAATGTTAACAAGGAGATTCTGGAAGAAGCGTACATCATGGCTTCTGTGGACCATCCAAACCTTCTCCAGCTTCTGGCTGTGTGCATGACCACTCAGATTATGCTGGTCACACAGCTCATGCCCCTTGGCTGCCTCTTGGATTATGTCCGCAATAACAAAGACAAGGTAAGCTGGTTAGATTTAGTGACTAGTGATCGTCATTACTAATATTGCCATACATACCACATCATGGAGTGGGAATGTTTCTCGGAAAAATTAGGAAAGTGTTGTACGGAACAGAGTTTTATAGATTATTCAAAAAATACCATGAAACAAAATAGTCATTTCATTGTAATTTTGATAGAATAATAATAATGAAGCAACTTCATTTTAATTTTATACTTATTATTATGCAAACAGTAGTACATCAGCCATGTCATAGGTTGGGTATAATGTACTCTACATTATGTAAATTGGCTGATAAATGCCAAGTCATTTACTCTTACTGCCAGTTTTCCTCTTTTGTTTACATAAATGCCACATTTTCTCACACACACCATGTTTTCTTCTACCCAGTCTTGCAATTTACACTAACTTTTAGAAAATAACAAATTTAACTATTTTTATACAATGCCAGTTACTGTCCTGTCCGAAGACCAAAGACTATACACATAATAGTATACTGTACTGTAAAGTACTTTTTATTTGCTTATTTTATAGGAAAATGAAAACTTTAAAATCTTAAAATATAAATGTTTCTCATTTAAGATTGGATCCAAACCGCTCTTAAATTGGTGTACCCAAATTGCACGTGGAATGGCATATCTTGAAGACCGGCGTCTTGTGCATCGTGACCTTGCAGCAAGAAATGTCTTAGTACAGACTCCAAATTGTGTTAAAATCACTGACTTTGGTTTAGCCAAACTTTTGGACTACAATGAAGACGAGTACAAAGCAGCTGGAGGAAAGATGCCCATCAAGTGGTTAGCCCTTGAATGTATACAGCATAGAATCTTCACACACAAGTCTGATGTTTGGGCTTTTGGTAAGTCATCTTATACAATAAAGTATTGTGATATGTATTTATATATGCACTGAGGGATAAAACAATATCTGTTTGTCTGTTTTAACCATTTTTTTCTTTGTACAGGTGTGACAGTATGGGAGATATTAGCATATGGTGGGAGGCCCTATGAAGATATCCCTGCACGAGAAGTACCTGACCTTTTAGAAAAAGGCGAACGTTTACCCCAGCCAGCTATATGCACAATTGATGTCTACATGCTCATGATTCGCTGCTGGATGTTGGATGCTGAAAGTCGCCCGAGCTTTCGTGAGCTGGCTGAGGAATTTGCCAAGATGGCAAGAGACCCTGGCCGATTCCTGGTGATACCAGGAGATAAACTGATGCGGTTGCCATCTTATACGCCACAAGATGAAAGAGAATTGATCCGCTCATTGTCATCAGCCATCGAGGGTGAAGGCATTGTGATGGCTGCAGAAGAATATTTACAACCTAAGTATGGCAGTGGAAGTGTAGGTGTGACAGGTACTACCACCACCTCCTCAACTTCAACTTCTGACCCCACAACTCCAGTCAAGAAGACTGCAGGAGGGTATACCTTGGGTGTTGGTGCAGAATATATATCAGGAAGAGCAGAATCTCCCCAGAACCGTCATAATCTACAGAGAGAGAGGAAATATGCACATTTAGAGGCTGGAGCCGTAGGATCTCCAGGACAGAGGCCACGAGGCGATTCTCTTACTTCACGCTACTGCTCCGATCCGCTCAAGATGCTAGGTAAAGGTGTGTCTCTAGTGCACCTTGGCGCCACATGCTTTTGTTATTTGTTGCACCACTTAACTTATTGTTCTTTGCATTGCTGACCTTGTAGTACAGTACTTAAGTGTGTGTTAAAAATCAGCTAAGTCAAGTCTTGAAAGTCAGTGCCAGGTTTAAAATTGATAAGGTTTACATTGTATCTGCACAAGGTTTACTATTGGGAGACAGAATAACCACTTACAATGTTAATGATGATTAAGAGAACTAATATATTTGCTGTATGTTCACTGGAGAATTAGAGGGTGCTCGGTGTTGGTATGTTTGGTGGAGTATTAGAGGATGCACATTGATGGTACATTTGGGCGAGTATTAGAGGGTACTCATTGATGATATGTTTGGTCGAGTATTAGAGGGTACTCATTGATGTTATGTTTGGTCGAGTATTAGAGGGTGCTCATTGATGGTACATTTGGTCGAGTATTAGAGGGTACTCATTGATGGTATGTTTGGTACAGTATTAGAGGGTGCTCATTGATGGTACATTTGGCCGAGTATTAGATGGTGCTCATTGATGGTATGTTTGATGGAGTATTAGAGGGTGCTTGCTCATTGATGGCAAGTTTGGTGGAGTATTAGAGGGTACTCAATGATGGCATGTTTGGTGGAGTATTAGAGGGTGCTCATTGATGGTATGTTTGATTGAGTACTAGAGGGTACACAGAGATAAGTTTGTTTAATAATTTATCTGAGGGTGCTTGTTAAAAATAGTTTTCTTCATGTTTTTTTATAATGAAAATTTTATAAGTAAACATATGAGTGCAGTTACTTGCATAAAATGACTTGGCAACGTTCAGCTGACTTTTATGGCTAATTATTTAGATATTTATGCTAGCATGTTATAGTTAAACAAATTTCGATACCTAATAATTCTAAGTAGAATATGCATCCTTTGTTCTGAAGCTTAATGAAGTAGCTTGAGAGTACTTTAGTAACCGTTTGTTTGCGTGTACATCTTATTACTTCAGTTGGCACTGACCTGCCTTCACTTGTGTTGCTCCAACTACATCTGCTCTTGCACTTCTTCTTCTGTTAATGGTAGTTAATATTTATGATTTTGAAATGCATTTTTGAGCTAGCAAAATCTTATCCAAGTATTGTTCTGTGGTTTGCATGATTGTAAACACAAGTAAAAGAAACCTAGGTTGCTGAAATAAACACACACACACACACACACACACACACACACACACACACACACACACACACACACACACACACACACACACACACACACACACACCAGCATAACTTTAAAACACTCTTGTTTGATATCATGCATTCCCCCTTACACTGCCAACTACTATAGTTTCATTGATTCAGTGATTTAATAATGCATGTGGGGTGGGGGGGCTAGGGGGAACATGCCTTTAATTGAAGTGTGTTGCAGATGTTGGTGATGATGATTGCTTTAATGGTCATGGACCACCCCAATCAGCGCCCAGCTACGGGTGGGTTGGGGATCTCCGGCTTGATCTCCCTGTTGATGAGGACGACTACTTGATGCCATCACCCCAACCATCAGGTTTAGCCACAGTGGGTCCTTCACATCAACATTATATGGACCTAATGGCTGATGCTCCAGGTAAGTTTATTTAGTAATAGGGATTTTGGGGTACATTTGGAATTAGTGCAGCACTATTGATTACCAAAAATTTTGGCTGCCATTTGCTTCATATTACTGTACTGTACAATGAAAAAATTCACCTAAAAGTAAGTAATTAAATAAGACTTGAAAAATAAACACTTACTCCTACTGTTTCATCATGATTATTAATGTTACATGTCTTAAACATTTGGCTAGATTTTGTAAATTTTTATTAGCCTCTTAAAACTTTCGCTCGCTGAAGACGTTCTTAACGTCATTAAAACAATACTGTACATGCAGTTTGCGTGATGACGCAAACGGTGTCATGCTTAAATTTTTGCTTAGTCTTATTATTAAGTATAAACGTTGTAAGTGAAAGAGTTTGACATTGGGTTGCATGCTCACCGGCAATGCTCAGCCTATTTTCCGGTGCAATCTGGGTCGCCCACCGGGACAGTGATAGTGTTAATACAGTATATCAAGTTAATGTTCATTAGGCAGCTGTTTCAACTAGGTCGTCACTAGGCGGAAGACATTGGTACTGAAGCACGCCACATACTCAGTCGGCACATAGGTGTATCAACAAACTCAAGCACCGAGGCAAACCTCGAGTACAGAGTAAAAAATTTTTCGAAGAAATTGAGCTCAAGAACCGAAAAATTTGAAAACCGAGGTTCCACTATATATAATTAGTTTTTGATAATTACTTGCAATAATTAGTTAAGCACTGTATTAGAAATTGCTCTTGTAATCAGCTTAATTACTACCATAAGCTTTGGCTATATTTTTTCTTGTACTCTACTGCTTGAAATCGTCTACACAGAAACACACAAATTCACCATTATAGTATTATTATGATTAGGGTGATGTACGGCCTAAATGATGTAGGTTAGAGGGTTCAGTGGTGCTGAAAAAGAGTGAAGGGAAAATGGATGGGCATTTAGTATTCAATAAAATTGCCATGAGACATAATGGGGGAAAGTGACTGTCTCCCTGGATCATCCAATGCACATTTGATTTATTTTTCATATACAGTATATTGCATTCTTGTTTACCATAGTCTAACGAGTGCTATAAAAGTGAATTAACTTACCAAGTTGTGTTTAATATTGCAGATGGACGCAGAAATGATCACAACCAGATCCGTGGATTTAAGGGACCCAATGGAACAGCTGGTCAGCAGTGGGTGGGCATGGACAATCCTGAATATCACATGATGAATGCACGTGCTCAGATGTATGCTGGACGCCGCATACACCCTCAGCAGACTGTAGGAGTGCCAGTACTAGAGCCAGGACGTTTCAGTAGCTATGGTGGTAGTAGTGGACACAGCAGTGTCAGCAGCAATGGTCATACTCAGCATCATCCTCCACAAGAGATGCCCCATGAATATTATAATGAGCTCTCGCCTCACTCGCCTCACACTCTGGCAGCACGTAGTGAAACTACAGTCTGAATGTTCAGAAAACCTCATTCTTTGTCTCGCCCAGTGCAAGATTTAATGAAAAGAAAGTTCAAAAACATTGGATTGGTTAGTGATGAGTGCTTGTATATGAATTTAACCGGAACTTTCAAACCTTCTTTGCCGAGTCTGTGTCTACAAGATGCAGCACAAATAGCCTTGACTATAGTGAAGTGTGGTATGTACCGGTACAACTTGTGTCGTAATGGATATTTATAAGGGTTAGAGGAATTAAAGAGTGTGGGGGACATTTTTGGAAATGCTCTTGTAAAACAACTGTGGTTAAACAAAAATGATATGACTTGTGGAACACTGAAAACATAAGGTTATACAGTTTAACAATTATACTCCAATATTGCACTCTTAATATGTGATATACAAAGATGCCAATTTTTTAATTCATATAATGGACATCTGGGTATTGTGGCTAACAATACTCTTTCTGATTAGTGTTGGGGTAGTTGACTCAATAATTATTGATGAATCGGACTGGCTGTAACTAGTCCGTTTGCAAGAGCTCCAAAAAGCTCACCTTTTCTGTGATTTTAAATATAGTTTTACATCTTGACCATTTTGCAAGTGTTGCAATAGAATTAATTTAAAATGAAACCTTCTGGCGAATATGAACTGGGGAAAGTTTATAATTAGTGTTAATATCAACAGATAATATCCTTTGAAAATGGTGACCCAAGATATTGTTGACTTTATTATATTTAACATCAATTTTAGTGATGATGTGGAATTGCCATCGATAGTGACTTAAGGTGTGACATCCATCTTCAAATAGGAAGAGGCTCTTCATTAGTCTTATAAGGTGCCCAAGAACTAGGCCTAACGAGTACAACATAATGGTCAATAGTCAATTCCTAAGTGCTGGCTAAACATTTTTAGCTGTATATTTTGTTAATGTAGAATTGAAATATGAAATCATGATCCTTGTTTTGCAAACATTTAAGATTTTTTAATGAGATGTATATTAATCTCTCTAGATTGATATTTTTAGTCATTTTATCACTATTTAAAATCAAACTTTTGAATAAGGAAATGTATTCATATTAGATTCAAGTTATACACTAGTTTCTCATGGTAACATCAATGTTCCACATTTCTGCAAACCACTCATTGATAAATTAGAATTTGTTATAACAATGCTGCTTGCTTTTCCAGGTGTTATATGATTCATAATATGAAATAATCATAAGTATTGGTTAGTAAGAAGAGTGCATGTTAACCAAATCACAAATCATTGAGCTGGAGATGCAGACATGCATAATGCTGGAGACGCTACTATTTCGTAGTGGTTGAATGAAGGTGAAGGGGAGAGACTAATGTGTGCAAGTGTATTAAAAGACAAATTTTCAAATATAATCTACATCCTTTCTCAAGGTGCTGTGTATAACATTGTATAAAGTACCTTGAGAAAGGATGTAGGTTACATCCAAAAATTGTGTTTTTAATACATTTGTGCATATATTGGGTCTCTCCTTCATCTTTATATATAATGTTTCTATGCATTAGGACTTGACTCTTGATGCTCAAAGACAAAATAAATATACAATGCTTCATTCCTCACTCATGCCATCATCTCAACCTTTTTAGTCATCTCACAACTTTGTAAAACAAAACAAAAATATGTGATTGATTTTGTCAACCTGATTCTTTGTCAGTACTGCACAGTACAAGATATTTTTCTGATGTACCGCAAATAGTACATTGAAATGCTCTTCGAGGGTAATGGTCACTAGTTCCATATGTAGTATTGACCACTCTTAGTTGCCAAGTTTATCCCTGGTCACTTTAAAAATGTGTACTGGAACTGCTGAAATCAACTGCGTTCAAGATGATAGGTTTTACAAGTGCCAAAAGTTTAGTATTTCTACTCTGCCATCTTATTATAAGGCAGACCAAGCAGTTGCCATTTTAATGTTTGCCTCTGCATTATTGCACAGATGGTTTATTTTGAAAACCAAAGGAATGGGTTTTAAAGTCAGTGGAAAAAGTTCTTCAAAATCTTCAGTAAACCTGAATCTGTGTTTGAAAATATTTAGATGTTAAGCCTATTATTCATAAATGATAAATATTTTATATTTACTTTTTGTAATTAAGCAGTTTTGCGGTTTTACTCCTTGCATTTTTCATTCGCACAATGCATTGGTGTTGGTACCTTAAGTAAACAGTGTATAATTCAATATATACTATTATATTTACTTTTGAGACAACACCTAGAATATAGTACAAATCAGTTCTTCTGTTACCCATTCCAGTTCCTGTGCTTGGTCTGTCACATTGCACAAATATGAATAAAGATCATTCTTGACAGCTCGTGCAATATTCTCAGTGCGTAAATATTGCTGTCACTTTTGCTTAATTTCATTGAAATTCTTGGTAGCTTCAAGCTTATGAGAATAAAAAACATTGTTTGGTTTGACAATGGTATTAAAGAAGTCTGTTGTCTATCAGTTTTTCTGTTCTGTGTACAGTGTTTATTTGAATTTGTAAGATTTTAAAATTGATGTGCATGTGTGGACATATGGGTTTCTTGTGAGTTACATTTTAATAAAATTCTAGCTTAATATAATAACTTTCAGAACTAAATTTAGGACAATAGTCATGTATTTCTGATAAGTGATTTGCCATACAGTATACTATACTTCCAAAATCAATTTCCTTGGTTTATTTTGACGGTTAACATGTTTACTAATTTGAATGAGATAATCCATAGTGAAATAAAATCAGTTCTTAGTTCTGTACATCATTTTTATTTCATAGCAGGGACATTAATATTATGCTCTAAACACACACACACAAAACGTCTGTTTCTGTGAGACTTCCTCTCACTCACATACTAACATTCATTCATTCTCTCTCTCACTTTTTCAAAGAGATAACTATACACTCGTACACAAATTAGACACAGCAGTCAGCAAGGGAGATGCACAACCTCTAACTAAATCTTTTTTCCACCCATCATAATCCACTGCATATAAATGTACAATATTGTATAATATATATAATTTGTTGGCCAAATACAGATGTCTCAAAAAGTAGTCATTCATATATTGCAGACTTTTTGAGTCATCTGTGCATTCTGTGCATTCTTAACTTCTCAGTCAGGGACCTGTAAATGTTTTGTATAAAGATAAAATGCATGATGAATAAATTTGAACCGAGATATTTTATAAATGACCCAATTTATTTTTGCATGATGAACAAAATAAATAAAGAGTTCAGATTTTAGTCATGCATTATTGTATTGTGGGATGAATTTATTGCCATGGTTCTGGAGCAAGACAAAGATGGATTCAGTTAAAAGAATACAAGTCACAATACCATGACTGAAATCTATGCACAACCACTCAAGCTGGTGGGCTTTTGTGCACTAGATTCAGTTATACTGTAGTTGTGTCCCACCCATTGGTACAAAATGAAATGTCCAATAAGGAGGTGTTAAGTATGATTGGTAAAGTGGCAGTTTTGAAATAATCAAAATTTCCATTAAGTGACTTGTCAAAATCCACATTATTGATCAATAACTCTATCTTCTATTTCTTATATATTATTGTAAATAATGGGCTGTAAATTGTTTATATTTTTAGAGCAGATTTTATCATTTGTCCTATTTGAATACAGTAAGTTTTGTACTTAATGGGATTATGTACTTACATATTCAACTTAATTCTTCCTTGCTTGGTAGAAATCAATCATAAATGTGGAGTAGCCAGTGTGGTAAGCCTGTGATGCAATTGACACAAGGCTCTCTATCATACTTAAGATATTAGAGAGGAAATCTAAAGTGTATTATGGCTTCTGACCTGGTTACATGCAGCTGTAGCCATCAAGAGTTGATATGGTTGTGGACTGATATCTAACACATAGGCAAGAAAAATGTATCTATACCACAAATTTTGCAATAAAAGGTCATTTTGATTTTGTTTTTCATTATCAGAAAATGCTCTAGATACTACTGAAACAATGAACCTTTATTATTAAGTGTGTGCAGTTTATTTTCCGACCTCAAGCAGTAGCAATAAATACCTGGCAACAACTGCGACTGCCGTCTCTCCACACCTGGCCCACTCCTACACTGTATTCACAGTGCTCTGCAACAACCTCTGCTTCATTCCCAAATGCCTGTTAAACAGAGAATATACATTATGGTATTGTTGCTATGCTTATCCATATATCTAGTTACTCATCAAGAGATTGTTGATGAACTGTTGTTCACTTCACTCATAAAGAGAAACTACAGTGGTGAGCAAGAGTTGAACTCAGATACCCAACCAATCTCCTAGCCACACTAAGTGTACATATCACAACACACACACAATACTGAATGTCCCTGCCCGAATGTAAGCCTGTGGCCACCACACCACTATATATATTCTAGTAAGCAATGATCTACACTTAAATGTCCATTCATGGATGTCAGCCATCAAGCTCATATTATACTTAGAAACTGCCTACTACTTTTGTTTATTTTAAGACAAATCTAACCAAATAGACCTTGAAATAAACAGTATAAACATTAGGAAATCAAAGTCTGGCAAGCTTGTTTAGCATGTATTAGGTCTAACACTGATGATACAAAGTTCTGTACAGGCTTTTCCCTCAGTGAACTAAGACAGTGATGAACACTCAATAGTGGAGAGTCTTTCGTAATATAGAAAACTAGAAATACAATTTATATAATGGAATGCAACTAGGCTAAGGATATTCAATAAACAATATCAATAAATTTTGATATTGTTAACTGGCATCCAATCCAGATTCTTGTGACCGACAGAACAGGAAGAGGCTGGCTGCTTCATAATACCCTGGTGGCACCATGTTTATATTGAAACATACAGCTACGTACTGATTTAGATAGAGAGAACTGACAAATCAAACCTACATACTAAATGTGGTAATACTACACATGTGTACAGTACCACATGTGGATTTGGAATACTACACATGTATGCCATTGAAGCAAGATAATGGATTTAGAGGAAACTCAAATAATTTTTTATACGAAACCAAAAGAGATTTCAAAAGGAAAAAAGAGAGAGAATGTATGGATCTGGTTGAAAGACCCACATGCATGCCATAATCACAGATACAAATACACATCCACAACAAAGCTACAATTATGACAGGCAACAGCCCTACAACAATCAACACTGGTCAGAACAAACTTGATATATCCACGCATAATGGACCTGTCAGAAAAGTCTCCCAGTTAAACTACCCAAAATAGAGTAACCTCATTCATCTTTGCCAACACACAAGGACTAAAAACAAGAGCAAAAAAAACAAAGTACAGGTACTGTTCATAAATGGCCTCCTCACTGAGTCAAATGCAGTATTTGAACCTTTCACAGAAACCCATGCAGGGGGAATTCTTGGACAGTGAGATCTGGATACCAGGATATAATCTATGCAGGTGTGATAGGGTAAATAGGTCACATGGAGGAGTGGGTCTGCATATTAGGAAAGGCCTTGTATGCTCGGAGCTCCTTAACTCTACAAATAAGGTGGTAGAGGCACTGGGAGTAAAATAGATAAAATAAACTTAGTTATTATTCTAATACTGTATACTTATCACCAGAGGCAATGGCTGAGGAATTCACAGAACAGATAAACAAAATAGAGAATAGCCTTGATAATTTGGCAAACCCAATACCTGATATTATTTTTCTAGGTGACTTCAACCTGCCTAGTCTAAGATGGAGAAGAGCAAACAATAATATTATACCGGGAAAACTATCTGGACATAACCAGCCACAGTTTAGAGAACTACTTAGATTCTGTGACAAATTTTCACTCAACCAGCAGATACCAGAGCCAACTAGGAACGAAAATATTTTAGATCTGGTCTTCACAAACAGTGAAGACATAATCAGAGACATTATGATCTCAAATACCACATACTCAGATCACAACCTCATTGAAGTGCAAACGACCATCAATACTCAGAATAGACCTAAAACAATGATCAAGTAAGATGGGTTATTCAATATATTGAATTTTAATAATAAAAGGATTGACTGGGAGAAAATAAACAGGGAAGTTGCAAACATTCAATGGGAAACTGTTCTAAATAATAAAAATCCTATGCATGGAATAGAAAAAACTGACTTCTGAAGCATATAAAGTCTGTCTGAAACATGTTCTTTTGAAGAAAGCCAGAAAGAAGTCCAATATAGAAAGAGAATGTAGATGACACTATACTAGAAGGAAAAAACCAGCATTGAATGTAATGAAATGCCATTTTCTGGGTGAGACCCGGAGACTCCCCGGAGATATCCAGGCTGATATGGATATACAGGGGTACCTCGGTTTAAGAATTTAATCCGTTCCTGGAAATGGTTCATAACCCGAAAATTTGTAAACGGAAGCGAATTTCCCCATAAGAAATCCTGACTCCCCAAAAAACTTCACTTCAAAGTAAATTTTATACCTAATTTACCCAAATCTTCACTACAAAAGTATGTTCAAGTTATTACTTATCCTTGCTGATGACTCCTGTTTGTATATGGAAGACGGTGAGGAGGGGGGAGAAGGAGAGGTGTTACTGTTTGGAAGGGGAGTCCATTATAACATCAGGCAGTGAAGATTTCTCTAGAGTGCACTCTCTGGGACGTTTTGCCTGCATACTACTAGGTCCTGGTTGTGGCTCACTGCTTGATTTTCTCACTTTTCTTACAAGGAAATGTTCCATTGAAGATTGTTTTCCTTTCTTTGCAACACTTACAACACTCACTTTGTCTGTAGTGAGGCATCTCATTGTCATTAAAAAGATCAATGCAACAACCTACTACAGCTTTATCTGGGTGATTCTTTTCAGCAAAACTTTGCAGTCCTTCCCATACTGCACACATTTTCTTAATGAGGAAGGGACATTCTCTACTGCCTCCTCTTCCTCCCCTGAAGATTTGTTGTAATGCCTAGCTAGTTCAACAACACGAGTACCATTTTCATGCTTATGAATGATCTCTTGTTTTTCCTCTATGGTCATTCTCACATGTGATTTCTTGACACTGGCTTTCTTGGGACCCATGGCAAGATATATAATAACAACTTTTATGCTCAAATGGCCAAAAATCAGACAAAAAACTGTAAATTCTTGTGAAGAATTCAGGCGGGATAGTCAATGGGCTGGTAGTTACTGGTAAAGTGAGGCACGATCGCTGTGCCACCACACGTTAGATGGCTGTACACATATCAACAAACTCGTATCCCGATGCAAAGTTTGTAAACAGGGACGTTCGTAACCCGAGGTACCACTGTATTAGACTGTGGCATCAATGTGCATGGAGTTCTAGACCTACCAGGGACCACAAGCCAGAACCTGGTCGAACAACCAAGACGGCTCAGATGGAGCATGAACAGGCCGGAGGTGAAACAACGCACGAGACAGCTTGCGGAGCAGAGTAGAAGTAACATCAACATTGAACACAAGCTGCGGTGGCTCCGCCAGCTCCACACGAAATAAGGCGACAATATTCGGCACAAGATGACAGTCCTGGAACAACCACGAAAGGAAGGACAAGTCAACCCTATCCGAGACGGAAGTACACCTACGCAAAGACAAGAAATAACGGAAGGACCACCAGGAAACTTCATACTGTCGCCGAGACGAAGCATGCAGGTGGGACACCATCAATGAAGCCACCTGCGCACCATACAAGTGATGATAGACCCAAGTCAGAAACCCAGACGCAAAGACTCGAGGAGAAGAGCGAACCAGCCATGTAACGGACTGGACCGATCTGCTGAAAGAAGCGGAGCTGTGGGAAGACCCTCGGGTTCGGATGCCGAGCAAGCAGTGCCTGAAACCAAGGCTGGGCTGGCCACCAAGGGGCCAGAAGGACAAGTCTTCCCTGTTAAGTCTTCAAGCAAGCCAGGATCTGGAGCAACAGCTAAGTTTGTATATGGAAGACGGTGAGGAGGGGGGAGAAGGAGAGGTGTTACTGTTTGGAAGGGGAGTCCATTATAACATCAGGCAGTGAAGATGTGCATGTAATATATTTGAACAATCTTCTCTCGTACATACAGCAATGAAGTGCGTCAATGACGGGGCAAGTACAACTCAAACCGAACTTGCAGGCATATACCTTGCCACTGAATTTTTAAAAGACAAAGGCAGTGGACTTATATACTGTGACTCGCAGAATGCACTCCTGGCATTGAACGCACATAGTAGTGACACCCAGAAAATAGTCAGTGATATTCGAATGAATGTTTTAGCTACTAAAGAAAACAGATTTGAAATTAAATTCCTATGGATACCATCACATGTTGGCATCTCAAGGCATGACACTGTTGATATGCTTGCAAAGACAGCCTATAGGAAACCAGTGGTAGAAATTGATATGGGTGTTTCATTAGCAGTGACAAAGAGAATACTTAAACAAATATCTAATGAAGATCTCACCGACCTAACAAATTCACAAAGACCTGAAAGTTGTAGCATTAAATATTATGATAGATATCGTGAGGAGACATTCACATATGGGACTAATAGAACAAGAACCCGGCAATGTGATGTTATAGTGGCCAGAATACGCCTGGGATATAGACGTATCTGGCAGCTTTCTCAAAACCCAAATGTCGAGTACACAATGTGTCAACTTTGCAAAAGAGAAAACATGCACTCTCTTGAACATTATATTGTAGAATGTCCCATACTGACTGACTTTCGCCCTCCTGGGCTAAGGTATGCTGAACTCTGTAATTACTATACGAGTACTGGAACACTTGATATATTGGACTTGTATCCAAGATTGACCATGTAATATATCAATTATACAATGTATGTATATGATGTAACTATATAACCTGAGCTTGTAAAAGCACCTTAATCACCTTCAGTGATTAAGTGCTTAATTGCACACTAGTTTCTTTATCAGCTATCTCACCCTATCAGTGTAATGAGACAAATGTATGTGAATGCATGTGTGTATATATATGTATGTATATGTGTGTGTGTATGTATATGTATGGGTATAAAGTATACATGGAAGCTGATCAGAAATACATTTCACCTTTGTAAATGTACATTAATGACACTATGTAAAAGACACATCGAACACTTTATGTAGGGCATACGTAAATCTGTGTATCTATGTATTTACGTATGTAGGTTAGCTTAGCATTTTAAACGCACCGAATCACCTTCTGTGGTTGAGTGTTCAATAAACCCCTGAACTATATGTTTAACACATCTCTAACCCTATCCATGGAGGACAGAAGAAAATGTATATATGCTGGTTAGCATTGTAAATGTGTGGCCACGTCAGTGGTAGAAAAAAAAAAAAAAATATGTGTAGCTTACTGAGTATTAAGTGTGTTTTTCAAGCCTTGTGTATTGTTCAAATGTTTATCATGCTGATTAATTGCTGCTCTACAGCATGTTTTTAATGTTTTAACACCAGTTTTGTTGAAGTGCCAATAAAATAAATACCCAGTATGTGTTTAATATTATCGACCATTTACTTTTTATTCCTGTTAGTGGTTGTCGTAGGGACCCCAATACACTGGTTTGCCCAGGGGCCCATAATGTAAGACGACACTGACTTTGTAGCAGATTGATGAAGAAAAGGACTATGGAATCAAAATCCACCATTCACAGAAAATTGCACAACAGGTAGGGGGCATATACTGATGCCTAACCAAACCCTAGCAATAATCAAGCATTCCTCTGATATCAAGGAAAAGAAGGTAGTGATTCAACTGTATTGAATCTCTGGTGCACCCTCACTTGAAATTTTGTATCCAAGCATGGAGACCTCTTCAGAAGGACATAGCTGCTTTGGAAAAAGTACAACGCCAGGTGACAAAAATAATTTCAGAATTAAGTCAACTTTCATACCAGAAAAGGTTGAGGGCCACATGACCAGTGCAAACCAGACATGATAAAGCTGATCTCGTTGAAACATTTAAAATACTGTACAGTACTGAACAATATGGAGTATGTTGATCCAGACAACTTTTTCAAAAGGTCAGATGTAACACAAACAAGGGGGGGAGGCAATGGTTTCAAACACAAGCAGAGTGATTTTCAAATATTCTTTACAAATAATAATAATAATAATAATAATAATAATATTTTATTTACAAGTAGGTACAATGGGTTGGCGAGATTACATTAGTGATATTTTTACTTTCTTGCAAAGCCACTAACATTCATAGCATTTTGGGCAAGTCCTTAATCTAACTTATCAGGTAAGGTAAAAAAAATACATTGTAGCAAGGTTTTATATTAACAATATAAATTGACAGAAGTGATTACAGTGGTAAAGATTATGTACTTAATTAGTCTTTAAAATTAAGTACTGTACTGTGCTAATATTGGGGAAGTGGGTCGTACAAAATACAGTGCGAGTTTGAAGCTCAAGGTAGGAAACTATGAGGATAAAATTAGGTACTTTTTGGTTTAATTTTGAACAGAGCATAGGTTGGAAATTGTTTTAATTCATCAGGGAGAGTTCCAAAATCTGGGCCCTTTTATTTGCATGGAGTGTTTGCACAGATTTAGCCTGACCCTGGAAATATCAAGATATATCTATTTCTGGTGTGGTGCTCATGAGTTCTATTACACCTATCAAGGAAGTTTCAAATCAAGATTAGCATTTAGGAAAAAGGTTTTGTATATGTAGATAGCACATGAGAATATGTGGAGTGAGTGTATGTTTAGCATGTTAAGGGACTTAAACAGAGGGGCTGTGTGTTGTCTGAAAACAGTTTGTTATAGTTTTAATAGCAGATTTTTGCCAAGTGATGAATGGCTTGAGGTAATTTACAGTGGTTGAACCCCATGCACAAATACAGTATGTAAGATAGGCATAGATTAGTGCGAAGTAATCAGGGAGGAACAGCTACAGGGAGCCTGACAGCTGAGTGGACAGTGCTTCAGATTTGTAGTCTTGGGTTCAATCCCCGGTGGAGGTGGAAACAAAGGACAGAGTTTCTTTCACCCTGATGCTCCTAGCAGTAAATAGATACCTGGGAGTTAGCAGCTACGGGCTGCTTCCTGGGGATGCATAACAAACAGGAAGCCTGGTCGAGGACCGGGCCGTAGGGATGCTAAGCCCAAAAATCATCTCAAGATAACCTCAAGAAGAAGTATAATGAAAGGAGAGCAGAGTGGGGAACATAATATGATTTTTTGTTAGGGGGCCTGATGGCTGAATGGACAGCGTTCGGTGTTCGTAGTCCTAAGGGTCCTAAGGTTTGTTTCGCAACAGAGGTAGAAACAAAATGGGCAAATTTTCTTTCAACCTGATGTGCCTGTTCACCTAGCAGTAAATAGGTGCCTGAGAGTTAGACAGGTGCTATGGGCTGCTTCCTAGATGTATGTGTATGAAAATTAGGAATGCTACTTGTGCTAGTGGCTGTACAACAATGTAAGAACTCTTGTACTGTACAGTACAGTATACTGAATATAAATAATTTTTTTTTTTTAAACGTATACTGACCGTTTTTGAGACTTTTTTTGCGATGTGTTGTATGTGGGTTCTGAAGTTCAGTCTCTTGTCTATGTATAGGCCAAGGAACATTCCCTCATTTTTATTGATAATGTTAACATTGTCTATCTGGAGTTGAATCTGATTTGATGATTTACTACCAAATAAAATGTAGAAAGTCTTTTCTGTGTTTAGTGTAAGTTTGTTGGTTGACATCCATGAGTGGACTTTTTTTTTTTTAATTCATTGTTGACAATATTATTTAGTGTGTGGAGGTTGGGGTCAGAATAGATGAAGGTGGTATCATCAGCAAATAGTATAGGTTTAAGAATGGTAGAAACATTGGAAAATTATCGATGTATATAAGAAATAGGATAGGTCCAAAGATACTGCCCCTGTGGCACCCCTACTGTCAATCATAGAGTTAATGGTTCCAATTAATATTATTATACTGTTAAGAACCTGAATTACTGTTAGGTAGGTTAGGTTTGTTATGCTCATATTTCTATTAGTTTAAACTCAAATTAAATTTTGTTTAATCATGTATAATGTAATGGAAAGCTTAATCATTCAATACAGAAAATTATGAAAAATATATTAGGTACAACATTACTGTATTGTACCCAATATCCAGAATGCAGTACTTGGCATAGTATGCAAGGTCTGGCTTGCTTAACAGTTAATGTGATTTTAGTTACTGTACTTTCAATTTTTCTTTAACTTGGTGTATTTAAATTAATACTATTATATTAAGAACATGAATTACCGAGTTAGGATAGGATAGGTTGTATTTCTACAGTAGTGTTTACTCAAATTAACTAAAAAATAAAATCACATTAATATAATGGAATTCTCATTCCATAAGAATAAAATTGAGAAAACTATATCATTTCAGGAAAACTCGGCGTGTTAGGCAAATCGGATTCTTGTATATTAGGCCATGTAGTACGTTCTGGCTATTAGATACCTTATGCAAGCAAAGATCAATAATCGCTAATGTATTAAATGCTGAATAATCCACATAAGACAATAGGACAAATGGTTAAAACGCTTTCGATTTTCTCAGGTCCTATATGGTAAGGTACATACATACAATAAATATTTACAAGGATTGTTTGACTTATAGGTAGAGCTAGTACATACAATGCCTAAAGCCACTATTACGCAAAGCGTTTCGGGCATACCGCCCGAATATGATATATGATACCTTGACGCTTGTCTTAATTAAATTGTCATTGTAATCAAACCCTGGAGGTGAAGCTTGATTTATTTAGTAGGTGGTGAAGGTGGGAGGTGGAGGTGGGAGTGTAGGTGGGAGGGAGAGGTGAAGGTGGGAGGTTGAGGTGGGAATGTAGGTGGGAGGTGAAGGTAGGAGGGGGAGGTGAAAGTGGGAGTGTAGGTGGGAGGTGGAAGGGAAGGTGAAGGTAGGAGGGGGAGGTGAAAGTGGGAGTGTAGGTGGGAGGTGGAAGGGAAGGTGAAGGTGGGAGGTGGAGGTGGGTGGTGAAGGCCGGGGTGGAGCACCACCTCCACCCCTGACCCTCACTGGTCCACTACCCTCACCTCCCACACGCCGCCTCACAAGCAAACCATCAAATCTTCCCAGCCAACATTGTAACAACCCGCTGGCAAACCACTAACCCAGATCATGCCAATAAGCACCTCACACGTTAGATTTAGCAACATGGTCTTGCACGACTTACTAATCCACCACAAGTATACTATTTCAAACAAAAAATGTCCACAAAATATCATTGACAGGCAACCATGGGAGGAGGACCAACAACATACCTCCGTTGAGAACATTACCGCTGTCAAGCCAGGAGCTCTCGTCATATTACTGATATAATATACTTGCTACAAGGTTAATGTGATCTCTTAGGAGGCGGGAAGGTGTACGGGTTGACTTAGTAATTAGTGATCGAGCAGTGAGAGGTGTGTGAGTGAGCTGCCAGCACCCAGGAGGACGGATTTCTCCTCTTCGCTACATGTCTTAACTCTTCTATACATCACTTGCTTTACCCCCACCATCATTCAGTGGTTCGTCAACTGTGGTGAGTAATAATGATGGTGATTATCATTTGGAAACGATAATTATTGTTGTTAACTTTGACATATCAATGTTAATAAGATTTTTGTCCGAAACGCTGCGAGTGTTCGATATTCGTGTTGCTATATTTAGATTTATATATTGTTTATATATTTAGATTTATGGATTTATATATTGCTCCCCACCTGTGCTTGGGGGGGGGAGGGGTGAGCTTCGGCTCTTTGGTCCCGACTCTTAACCGTCAATTAAGTGAGTTGCTAAGCCTATTGGGCTCTCAACATATCTACATGTGACACTGTATGGAGTCAGCCTCCACCACATCACTGCCTATAGTGCATTCCATTTCTTAACTACCCTGACACTTAATTTGTTTTCTAATGTCTCTGTGGCTCATTTGGGTACTAAGTTTCCACCTGCGTCCCCGTGTTCGTGCTCTACACATGCTACATATAGTTTTTTTTATCAACACTGTCAATTTCTCTGATAATTTTGTAGATGGTGATTATGATAACTTAGACTGATTCCAAGCTAACACGAAAATATTCTTGAAACATCTATTTAACTGTTGACAAATATCGGCGCGTGGCAGCTATAAATAGGCTTTGTCGAAGATAGGCTATATATGGCGGGCAGCCCTTTAGGGGTTATTCACGCCCATGCCACATCGTGGGTGGCTTAATCTTCAATCAATCAATCGAGCAGCCCGTCTTGTTAAGGGCTATTCATGCCCGTGCCACCTCTTGAGTAGCTTTAATCTTCATCAATCTGCAGTCCGTCCAGTCACAGGGAACCTGGCAGAACATCGGTGTCGTCACTCTGCCCAGGTGATGCCCCGCAGGTGAACATTTAAGATGCTGATGCAGTTCATTCAAGGTTGTGTGGCAAGATCGGGTTATCCTGTAAATATGCTTCGTATCAGTTGCAAGAAGGGGGGGGGGGGGTAGAAATAGCCTAAGCTACTCTATCCCTTTGAGATGTATTTCTTTCTTATCTCAATAAACATACTTGAACTTGAACAGTTGCAAGTAAACAGTTTAATGTTGATTGTTCTTCACGCGCTTTGACATAGTTATTAGAGCTCTTTGGTGCGTTGCATTGAATCTCTTGTTTATGGTAATTTGGGCATGATTTGAATTTGTTTTTAAGAATTTTTTTGTCAAATTCTTGAGACTAGTATTGTGCACGAGGATAGCATGAACATTTATAATTGTTGCTGTTTCACCCTCAAACTGTCTATTGTTGTTTAACCCGGCTGTGGATATAAGTTCTCTTACTCAACTCAATTGCACATGAGTACCTGAACTCAACTGTTTGTCCAAGACTTCATTAATAATATTTTGCGGCACCTCTATATACTTACTATATTACCTTAGCTACAAATACTGAACCAAAATATTATATACTTAAACATCACGAATAAATGTGTTTACAAACTACTTAGCTGCTTGTTTAAAATAAGATATTATCTATTCCTTATATTTTCCACACAAATTACCTTATATTTTAATATTTTGTTGAGGAATTTTCCACGGAATTTTCTGTGAAAAATTCCCAATATTTTCCACATAAATATCCTCATATACCGCTATTATTATTATGTCTTATTTCTGGGGCACCTCCCAGGCAGGTATATTCACGGCACCTCAGCAAACTGTGGCATCCAGCATAGGAACAACAGAGTAAGGAGCAGCATATTAATTGGGAGCACCCTCAGTGTCAACGAAGGACACACAGCACCATTGGGTAACACGCGGGCATAATATAATCCGTCCATATTAAGAAAACAGAAAATATCAAAAGTGGATTGCCCGCGGCAGCAGGAATTAAGAGGTCAGAACGCGTAAGCAGAAGCAGAAGCGTCTGAGGCTGCAGGAATTAAGAGGTCAGAACTCTTAAGCAGAGGGCCAGTGATGCAGCGAGGCGTGGTGCAGAAGGTGCTGTCGGTGGAGCAGGCAGAGGGTCGTGGAGCCCGGGTCAGACGAAGCATTGGAAGGAAGGAGGTAAGGAAATAAATGAAAAAAACAATATTTTAAGGTGAAGAATAATAATAAAAGAGATTATACGAAGAGCAGCACAAAGGGAAGGGATACCAACAGTTGTTAGTTTACTGTGCACCCCCCTGCTCATCCTAGCAGCGAAGAATCCTGGGTTCGAATCCCGGGCGAGACACTTTTCCTATCACCTAATGCCTCTCTTCACCTTGCAGTAAATAGGTAACAGGAAGTTAGCAGTTGTGGGGTTGCATCCTGGGGAGGGAATCTCATTGATATATGACGATAATCTGATTTCTCTGTGTACTCATGACTTATCTCGTCAACAGCTACGACGCCTGGATCCCTTCCTTCTGCTGGATGAGTTTCGGGTTCGACAACCCGCAGGATTTCCTGATCACCCACACAGGGGATTTGAGACAGTCACCTATATGCTAAAGGGCAGCTTCCACCATCAAGACTTCTGCGGTCACTCCGGTGTGATAAGGAAGGGAGATCTGCAGGTGAGAGAGAGAGAGAGAGAGAGAGAGAGAGAGAGAGAGAGAGAGAGAGAGAGAGAGAGAGAGAGAGAGAGAGAGAGAGAGAGAGAGAGAGAGAGAGAGAGAGAGAGAGAGAGAGAGAGAGAGAGAGAGAGAGAGAGAGAGAGAGAGAGAGAGCATCTCAGAGGGACTGATAAATTCTTAAGTTTTGGTGACTTTCCATACTATCTTAGGCTACCATTATATATGTTAATATGGTAGGTTCATATGCTTCTTTCTATTATAGAGTTTGTTCATATTTTGTTCTCTATAAATGGGTCGGTAGGTGCCTACACACTGTCCTCTTGCAGCTGACAGTACGTAACCTCTAATGACTCCTTTGCAGTGGATGACGGCGGGTCGAGGCGTGGTACACTCGGAGATGCCAGCTTCTGACGGGGATAACATTGGCCTCCAACTCTGGATTAACCTACCGGCCTCTCAGAAAATGATAGAACCAGGTATGGGTGAGGGGGATGTGTTGGTGAAGAGTGAGAGAGAGAGAGAGAGGGTGGTGGGGTGAGGGGGGCCGGGGTGAGGAATACTATAAAATTCCTTGAAGTCCTACTAATATATTTTTGAAGTCCTGCCACAATTGTTATAACCTCCTGAATGACGCCTTGTTTCTGCCCTCAGTCTACCAGGAGCTGCTGGCCTCACAGGTACCATCGGCGACCTCTGGTGGAACTACAGTGAAAGGTTAGAAAGCTTATATACTCACTTAACACATGCTGACCTACTATCTACTCTCCAACACCTGACGTACTATCTACTCTCCAATATAAGATCTACCACCTACTCTTCAACACAATCGAGTAATTTTAAAAGCTGACGACTAAATGCTTAAGCTAGGATCTATTATGAACATAATTCTTGTTTCTTGCATCTTAAAGCAACATATAATTACACGTCGTTTGATGAGGAAAATAATTCGATTACATGTAATTTTTTTTCTCATATTTTCCGTAACTGTCAAAGGCTCCTGTGATTGTTTCATACTCCCATGACTGTCTAAGGCTTAAACTGAGTGCAGTCATCACCTCACCTCACGAGCATAATTCCACAACTGTACTGAAGTTGCAAGGCTGCTATTTCTCTGATAATCCTTGCATTGATTATATATACAGTTCTCGTCACTGGGAACTGCAAAGCCCCTATAATTACAGATATCGCGCAGATTCAACAACCTTCCCATAATTGTAGATATTGCTCATAATTTATTTGCAACTCTTCTTGATTGTTGACATTAAATGAATCCAGTCGTCCTTCTGGGATGAAAGATATATTACCCAAACATATTTACACCTATTTATTTTAGGCCTCTGTATGTCAGTCACTGACCATGCTACTGTGATTGCAGTGATCGCTGGAGAGAGCATGGGCGTGGAGTCTCCGGTCAGGACTCGTACACCTGTCTACTACCTGGACTTCCAGCAGGAACCTGGAGCAAAGTTCACCCAGGAGGTACCAAGGGACTGGAACGCCTTCATCTACGTGCTTACGGGGACTATCAGTGTTGGTAAGTAGCATCACAGGCAGGTCCTCTCTCTCTCTAATGTATATCGTGACGAACATTTTGCAGCTCTCGTGTAAGATTTAGCAACAATATATCATCACAAACTCACCACAAGTATCCTAGTGTTGACGTCGTCTCTCTATTCTGTAACTTTGCTGAACTTTCCACCGCGAACAGCAATGATTGGATAATATGTATGAGGTTGTGTTGAACCCACTGAGAATTGAATAGTATTTAGTACCAGAGTGCTAGCTCCTTTTAAGCTAGGATGGTGTACACACTACTGTCTGGTTGTATAACAGAACTTTGAGATATTATGTCATCTTAGTGACTGTATTACTGTCTTGAGGGATTCAGTGGTACCTTATTGTCATAATCACACACTTACCAGGATTGTGAAATGTTTTCTCAGTAAATTATATGTATGAATTATGGCTAAGTACTAGGCTATTTCTTAATTCTAGTTGCTGATCCCAAGCGAGGATATTGATCGCGAAATGTTCTAAATTTGCTGAATAAGAAACCCTCTCTTGTTTATGTTTATGTTTTTGTTTATAATTGTTTATGCCCTCCATAGAATGAGTGTTATGTGCACATAACCTAGCGCATAGACTTAGTATTCATAACCTACCCTCTGCAGACTCAATGTTCGTGATGTGCATACTAGCGCACATAAGACTTAATGTTCAGGAACATTATTTAATCATTTGGAAACACACTAATATATTCATCATAAGCAACTCGGCAATAAATCATGAGGATTGGAATTACCAATATCATAGTGGCTCCTTCAGTGCTCGCGTGGGAAGCACACACTGAATGAATAATTAATATTACTATAAGCACACAGGGAGTAGAATGATATGTTCGTGTGGAGGCAACGGCTGTCACAGTTGCTGGGTGACAGTTTTTGTTGTGGTCAGAGTGTAGCTCCTGGGCTGACATCTAATTACCGATGAAATCACAATCAGTCGTTGTGTGTCTTGTAGACCTAAGTTACAAAAATTGATTGATAATTAGCTCTGTCATTGAGAATGCTCAAGATGCTAGCCTATCTCACAGATGTTAATGTCATTTGCCGTGACGGGCCTCATGACCTGAAAATGGAGGTTTTGATAGATTGATCTAATGTTTTGTTTATCATATCTTGGGGGTGACCAAACTTCTTACAAAAATTCTCAGCCTCTCGTGAGAATTTTTTAAACTAAAACTCCACATCGGACTCCAAAATGAGATCGCCTGAGAGCGGTGGAAGAATGTTGTCAGCAATTATTAAACACGGTAATTTCTTATTTTTTTTTCAGTGGTAGACGAGGAAGAGAGTGAGAGTGGCCCCCACCACACCCTGGTCCTCAGTCAGGGAGACTCCGTCAAGGTCTGCAACACTGGACCGGACACCGCCCACTTTGTCCTTATTGCTGGTGAGTTGATAGGTGGACGCTTTGGATGGGCTGCCTGGACCACTTTAAGATTGCTTCGTGTGGGAATGTAATTTTTTTTTTTTAGCAGTTATCGACTCTTTATGTTCTTTGATGAGATAATTTTTCAACTCTTTCGTCGCTATTTCCCGTAAAACTACGCGTTATTGCTATTGAAAGTCGGTCAGTGAGACATCTTGTGAACTGGACAGAGCCTGACCCATCACACACCTTACTCAACTCCCCCTCCCCAACTCTGCGCGAGATTACTTCTGATGGTAGATGCTTTCTTGAAAGTTGATAGTTTATTCTTAAGGCTGAAAACGTTAGAATAATCGCAGCAGAAATACTTCAAACTCAAGTGTTTATTCATATTTCTCGCTTGAGTTTTCTGCTCCCACAGCAAGAGGGAGGAGAGTTTACCTCAACCACAACAAGGAGACAGTTTACCTCAGCCACAACAAGGAGGACAAAGTTTACATCAGCCACAATAAGGGAACACCCACTACTTTCTTACACTCTTTCTTCCTTGTTATATTTTTATATCTTGTTTCACCTCCCTATTCTTATAGCTCTCTAGATTAAGAAAATATTTGATTATTATTATTATTGTTGTTGTTAATCACTGTATTAGCTATACTCTATATTAAAACAAATTCATTTAATCTACTTCACCAAGTTTACATTTTTTGTTCGGGTTATCTTAGTCGTATATATTTATTTGATTAGAAATCTCCTTTGGAAATGAACAATTAGGAATAATGTTTTCTGGTAAGGCATAGACACTATTGATCAGGGAGTTGCTCTGTGTGTGTGCAGGACAGCCCATCGGGGAGCCGGTGGTGCAGGACGGTCCCTTCGTTATGAACACCCGCGAGGAGATCCGTCAGACCCTGCAGGACTACAGCGACGCCAAGAACGGCTTCGAGAACGCCCGCAACTGGAAGTCTGCCTAGACCCAATGCTCGTTGTAGTGTATCTTCGACGATCTGCCTCCGACGACCTGGCTCCGACGACCTGGCTTCGACGATCTGCCTCCGACGACCTGGCTTCGACGACGTGTCTCACGTGATCTGGTGATGACGATCTGTCGACGGGGACCAGAAATGAGGCAACAGGAAACAGCAATGGTCGCTCTGGAACCACCTTCCTCCTGACCGTTCTAATTTGTCACGCAGGCGTTCGTATGGCTATGTGGTAAATATAATAAGGTAATTATCAGCAGTATGCACTAAGCCAGTTTGAATATAGCACTTGGAAGGTAGACTAGAAAAAAAAAAAGAGTTCATGTATACAACATACATTTCAGTGCGTGTTCACTATTAAATACACCTTTGGATGTTCATTATATACTCTGTGATGTTTGAAATTGTTCGTTTGTTTTGGTTACCTAACATATGTACAGGTCACCGCCCGCACCGACTTTCCTCCGGTAGAATCGGAATTAAATCATGACCGCAATCCGTTCTTTCAATGTTTGCCCTTATGTACCCAGGGACCTACCTGGCTCTACAGTGATTATTGAATCACGTTCTTGGGAAAAAAATATATAGTAAGACTAGATGATCTAGTCTATATATATATATATATATATATATATATATATATATATATATATATATATATATATATATATATATATATATATATATATATATATATTTTCCGCATATATATATATATATATATATATAGACAGAGTGCACGTTATGTGACAAAGAGTGCTGGGCAGACGGGACACACCACGAGCACAGCTCTCATCCTGTAACTACACTTAGGTAATTAGGTAATTACACACACACCCACGCGCGTGCGCACACAGACACACATTGGGGGCCTGAGGGCTGAGTGGACAGCGCTCTGGACTCGTAATCCTAGGGTCCGTGTTCGATCCCCGGTGATGGGAGAAACAAAATGGGCAGAGCTTCTTTCACCCTGATGCCCCTGTTACCTAGCAGTAAATAGGCACCTGGGAGTTAGACAGCTGTTACGGGCTGCTTCCTGGGGGGGGGGTGGAGAAAAAACAAATTAGTAGTTAGTAACAGTTGATTAATTGACAGTTGAAAGGCGGGCCGAAAGAGCGGAGCTCAGCCCCCGCAAGCACAACTAGGTGACTACACCCACACGCGCGCGCGCGTGCTCATCTTCATTGTCAAAATATAACCAGATTCTTCTAGCCTGAATCCAGTGTTGTCGACCTCAAGGCCTGACGAGATATCAGATAAGACAATTTAATAATAATAATAATTCGTTTTGTCGGAGACAGGAACCCTGTGTATGTAACAGTGTATTCATTAGGCTTGTATCGAAGTCTTCCTCCCGCAAGGTCGAACTACTCAGTAACTGACCTTCCCCAGAATACAACCCCACAACTAACTACCGGGTACCTATTTACTAAACAGAGGCGTTGGGAATAGGAAACGAGCCCAACCATTTCTGTCCCGCCCAGGATTCGGACCCGGGATTTTCGATTGATTTCAAAACGAACCCAACTGTACTAACGAGATTGATTAAGTGCAGAGTGCCTGCTGTAACCAGCACCTTGTTGCAAGTACACCCAGAACTGCAAGATTCATGCAACTATACAGGATTAGTAGCCTTATTTTGGTACAGTTGCTAACTACGGTGCGAGGCGAACTGTCCGTACCCCCTTCGTGTCCTCGCTAGGAGTGGAGCCGAGACATCCTAGCTCAGAGTGTCTTTAGGCTCCGAGTGCTGGCCTCGCTGAGAGCCATGAGTGTCAGTCTCAGCCTTGGTGCGGACCTAAGCGGAGCTGTAGTTGGTATATTTTCATACTTAAAATAAGGCCTTACTGTTTATGATCAGATTAACAGTTTTGTTTAGCTGTGTTGCAGCTGGGAGGGTGAACTACGCATCACAGACTCAAAACCTCAGCTGTAATCAAGAGAAACATACGTAGCGTTATGATATGTGTCCATGATCCTGCCACGTGAAGGTTGATCATGCCCATCACACATGCAGATCGCAGCAGTGGAGGACTGGCTGTTGGCGGGGAGGGTGTTGTCGGGTTAACGCTTGTGGTGTTCACCAAGTGAGCTCATGTTACGCATCTGTATGTGCTTCTTAGTGAGGTTCAGTGGTTCCTATATCTTGTATATTATGTATATCGCTGCCAGTGACCAGAAAATAGTTATTATTTCAGCCGGGGGAGAGAGAGGATTAATTAACTCCGTATATGTGTTTCAACTTCCGCTCTCTCTCCTCTAGCATTTCATTGTCCTGTAAATATCTTTAATGCTCTTTCATTTCCATTGAAAGAGTATCAGATCTAATTTCGCTCTCAGTATTCCTCATGCTTTGGCATGTTAATAAGTCGAGTGTATAGACACAGGAAGTTTTACGAGCAGTTCTCTGTGTTGAGTTTATGATTCTTTCTTGTTTGCATGTGCACGGTTGTCCTTTGTTTCTGGTGTGTACAACGCTGTACTTTATTGCTGCTGTCTTCACAGCTGTCCTTTCTTGCTGGCCAATGCACTACTGTCCTCTGTTCCTGGTGTGTAAATAGCTGTCCTCTGTTGCTGGTGTGTATGCTATTGTCCTCTGTTGCTGGTGTAATTACCTAAGTGCAGTTACGGGATGAGAGCTTCGCTCGTGTGTCCCGTCTTTGTTTGGCGGACACGACGGAACATACAACATACGGCCCCAGCATCATGCAAATAGGTGATTAACAAGGTGTAATGGACTTATAAGAGAGGTCCTTCACCGTCACCTCATTCCCTTCACTTCATCCTCGGGAATATATCATGCAGCAAGAATCGTTGTAATTTTTACGAACAAAAAATTTGCAAAAATTTGTAATATAATGCATGTAATATATATATTACGGGATATTCATGCCCGTGCCATCTCTTGGGTGGCTTAATCTTCATCAATCAATCAATCTTTGTAATAAATCATTTTCTTTCAACAGTATATACTTCTCTCAAACTTTCGGTGTCGCTGAACCATTCCTTCCCCTCCCTGCCCCATCCCAAATCCTTATCCTGACCCTTTCCCAGTGCTATATAGTCATAATGACTTGGCGCTTCTGATAATTCCTTTCCTTTCCTTTCGGTGTCGCTGTGGGTTCCCCTCTCTCCCTTGTCTTGCCAATCTCTACATGGAATACTTTGAAACTGTTCTTCTTCCTTGTGTTGATACTCGTCCCTCTCTCTGGCTTCGCTATGTTGATGACATTTTTGCTTTGTGGCCTCATGACCTTAGTCTTTTCCAGCCTTTCCTCTCCTCGCTTCTCTTAACAATCTGGCTCCTAAACTGAATGGGAATCTAATTCCTTCCTTCCTTTTCTTGACGTTCACGTTCACAGCTCTGTGTCCGGGTTCTCTTTCTCTGTCTACCGCAAACCCATGCATAGTGGTGTGTACATTCACTTCTTTTCCTACCATCCTCCTTCTGTTAAGAAAAGTGTCCTCGTCTCTCTCTTCCTCCGCGCTCTACGCATCAGCGACCCTCAGTTTCTGGATTCTGAAATTTCTTTTATCTACAAATCATTTTCTCGCTTTGGTTACCCTTTACATTTTATCAACTGTGCCAATTCTCAAGCTAAACGAAATTTCTGTCTTCCTAAACCTGCTTCCAACACTATTAGCACTGTGCTCTGACTTCCCTTCATATCTGAACTCAAAACACTTACTAATACCTTTCGTCCTCTTGACATAAAGCTCGCCCGACAAACTAACACTTCGTAGTAATCTGGTTCACACTGCTCCTCCTGCTTCTAATACTGCTGGTGTCTACTCTATTTCTTGTTCGTCTTGTCCTCTCCAATACTTTGGTGAAACTGGCTGTACACTTAATGACAGACTTAAGGAACACAAAAGAAGTGTTAAGTCTGTAGACACAAACAATGCTCTGTCATGTGAGGGATTCTAATCATCCTATTGATTAGTCTTCCTCCAAGATAATCTTTCCTGCCTCTACACAGACGCCGTCTTGTCGACTCTGCTCTGATACTCAACCTTCCCAACATGAACCTTAGTCCTGGCTTTGTTGCTGTTGACTTCCCTTTCACAGTATATACTCAAATGTTTCTCCACTGCGTATGGAGTCAGCCTCCACCACATCACTTCCTAATGCATTCCATCTGTCAGTTTCTATGACACTGAAAATGTTCTTTCTAACGTCCCTGTGGCTGGCTCATTAGGGTACTAAGTTTTCCTCTGAGTCCCCTTGTTCGCGTCCCACCCGTGCTAAACAGTTTATCTGTATCTACCTACCCTGTCAATTCGCCTGAGAATTTTATAGGCAGAAATCATATCTCCTAACTCTCTTGCCTTCCAGTGTCGTGAGGTTCAGTTCAGCAGCCTTCCGCGTAGCTCTTTCCTTTCAACTCGGGGATTAGCCTAGTGGCATACCTATGAACCTTTTCTAACTTTGTTTTGTGTTTAACTAGATGAGGACTCCAGGGTGGAGCCGCATATTCCAGTAATGATCTGACAATGAGGTATACAAGGTTCTGAATTATATGTGTACTCACCTAGTTGTGTTTGCGGGGGTTGAGCTTTGGTTCTTTCGTCACAACTCTCAACCGTCAATCTACTGGTGTACAGATTCCTGAGCTTCTCGAGCTCCATCATATCTCTACATTTGAAACTGTGTATGGAGTCAGCCTCCGCCGCATCACGTCCTAGTGCATTCCATTTACTAACTACTCTGACACTGAAAAATTTCTTTTTAACGTCTCTGTGGCTTATTTGGGTTATCAGCTTCCACCTGTGTGTGTGGACGTACCTCCAACACCACTATTGGAAGTGTGCCGGAACAACCGTGGACGTCTTCAAGAGAAAACTGGATAGTTTTCTCCAAGGAGTGCCGGACCAACCGGGCTGTGGTGGGTATGTGGGCCTGCGGGCCGCTCCAAGCAATAGCCTGGTGGACCAAGCTCCCACACGTCAAACCTGGCCTCGGGCCGGGCTTGGGGAGTAGAAGAACTCCCAGAACCCCATCAAGCAGGTATCAAGCAGGTATGTGTGTGTTTACTCACCTAATTGTGCTTGCGGGGGTTGAGCTTTGGCTCTTTGGTCCCGCCTCTCAACCGTCAATCAACTGGTCAATAGACCAATTATTGAATCTGCTTACACAATATGAACATTATTAATGGTTTGTACAAATTGGATCCATTTTTAATTGATCAATTACAAACGATTTGAATGAGATTATTAATATACAGTTATTTCATCAGTAGTGCAGCTCTTGAAACTCACATGAATTGGCCAATGGGCCTTTTGCAGTCTCCTCTTGGTCTTATGTTTTAAGGCATTCGTTTTTCACCACACAAGTATCCTTCCTGCCTTTTATGTTCCCTTCACTGAATTGTATGAATATATATATATATATATATATATATATATATATATATATATATATATATATATATATCACAGGAGCCTGAGTATGCACGGGAGCCTAGGTGTGCAGAAGAGAGGTGAGGCTACAGGTAGAGTATAGATCTGTCGTGTTTATACGCTAGGAAGCGGTCTCCGGGAAGAGGCTATAGGTTAAGTACATGTAACCAGAGGACGGCAAATCACAGTCAACTTTCACAGGCAACCCATAATAACATAAGTTATTTAAACAAACTTAAAATGACCTAGAAATCTGTTGGTGCTTTGCCTTCACCTCACTTGTAAAATATCCGCGAGTTTGCATCACATATTATAATATCATGATCTTTAATTGTTTTTATTTTAGTTAATAATAATAACAATATTTCCGTCATAAAGATGATACACTTGGTTATGTTATCAGGAAGGGTACACAAAGCGAGAGTACACACTCGTTTTAATCAACGATTTGTAAAAACAAAGGACAGATAATAAGGAAATCTAAGTTCTAATGCGGTCAAAAAAGGCAAAAAATGTCTAATCGCAGACATCGTTCCACCTCTATATCGTCTTCAGTGGGTGTAAATACCTATCTTGAGGTTATCTTGAGATAATTTCGGGGCTTAGCGTTTTCATGGCCCGGTCCTTGACCAGACCTCCTTTTTGTTACACCCCCCCCAGGAAGCAGCCCGTAGCAGTTGTCTAACTCCCAGGTACCTATTTACTGCTAGGTAACAGGGGCATCAGGGCGAAAGAAACATTTTGCCCATTTCTCTCCGCCTCCACCGGGGATCGAACCCGGAACTTCGGACTATGAATCCGAAGCGCTGTCCACCCAGCTGTCAGGTGCTACCTAAGTAATTACCAAAGTGGTGAAAGTAATTACCACTACGGTGAGTCCGTAGTGGACTTACCTGGCACAGGAGCAGGGCTGTAACTCTGTAAGTATAGTTAAAGGATGACAGCTAAGCTCATGGTGTCCCGTCTTCCCAGTACTCTTTGTCGTATAACACTTTGAAACTACTGACGGTTTTGCCTTCACCACCTCACTTAGCTTGTTCCAACCGTCTACCACTCTGCAAAAGAAACTTTCTATTTTTTTCGGCACCTTTGTTTCCTTAGTTCTGCACGTTCAAATCCGTTTGGTGTTGGTCTTAACGGCCTCTAAACGTCTTGAGGGGTTATTAAGGCCATCACAGGAACTTACTGACCATCCAGCAGCTATATATTAGTCCTGAACTAAAGTATAATGGCTGGTAAACTCTCAATGCATTTACACCGAGAAGCTGCTGGGTGCATATTTTGTGTATCCCTTATTGTCAATTGTGGCGTGTGCTTGTTCACCTGTATTCAGGGTAAGGTGAGATTATTATTATTCACAGAGAGTATACTCACACTAACGTGACTGCATCAATGAGAAAATCTGTAGGAGCCGTGATGAGGGTTCGAATCTATTATTATTATTATTATTATTATTATTATTATTATTATTATTATTATATATTATTATATAGGCCCTCCAACCCTGGACAAACATTCCTTTTATATATTATTATTACTATTATTATTATTTAAAAAATATTATCATATTTCTAAAAGTAATTATTAGGTAAAATGTTAGCTCAGAAGGTATCAAAATTCAGCTACCGTATATCATATGCCTAAGGCAGCCTACGATATCTTGCTGGGACTCTACATAAAGATATCTTGCTGGGACTCTACGTAGAATACAAGTGCACTCGACTCCCACCAGTTTACATTTTAATGTCTTTGTTGCAGAGTGAAGCTCTCAGGCCCTCTGATAACAGCAGACAATGCCTCGTCGGGTCTATCTTTCTTATTCGGTCAGACTGCGTCTTGGGTAAATACAGATTTATGCCAGAAATACGAGTAGTACAAAACGTGTTCGTTCAGGGGTGCAGCAGTTCGTATTCTAAACATTGTATCCACAGTATTTACGAGTACTATCAATACTGTTATTATAATACCACTGTAGTATTAATAAACTGTTTACTACTTCTATTTCTACTGCTATTGATGATTCTTCTCAGAACTATTACTACTATTACTGTTACTGCAACTAATAATAGTGCTTCAACTACTACTATTACTGCAACTAATAATAGTGCTTCAACTAATACTACTATATAATAATAATAATAATAATAATAATAATAATAATAATAATAATAAAGCATCTTAATAATAATATTAAAAAAACAAATGGTTAAAGGAACGTCACACAGATATCTGGGATATCCCATAAATAATCATGAGAACTGATACGAGTTATCTATATAAAAAATAGCCATCTGCTTCATGTTATCAATCTGGTTCTGTGTTGGGGCAACTCATGCTTGCAGTTGCTAATTATCAGAAGAAGGCGCTATGCCAGTATGACTATACAGAACTTTTTTGTTTGCACTTGTGGGTACAAGGGATGATTGCGTATGTCGCTAGTGTGCAGATTTTAAGATTTTTTTCCCTTCTCGCCACTAATTTTTCATGGAACACAACTTGCCAATCTGTTTACAACCTGGTCTCCAATTATTGCTGGGTGAACGAACGGTTGGAGGTCGGTGCCCAGTCGATCCTCCCTACCCAGGCCGAAAGGAATATGAATACAGACTATGAAATGAGTTGCGATATGAGTTTAGATGAAGGAATATTAAACAACCACTCGAACTATTGGAGATTAAATGCAGACCCTGCAAAGAGCTAGGTTGAGATTGAGAATTGCTAGGAATAACTTAATAACTGCTGGTATATATTAAGAAATGTTGGGTTAATCTGGGAAATGCTGAAGCACACTAAGAATTGCCTAGACGATCTAAGAATGAGTGGTATAGACCAAAATAAGTATTGCTGGGAAAGCATTAGTCCATCGATCTGTAGGGTGCTTAAGAGTTTCTGCTGCTGCTGCTGCTGATGTTTCTGCTGTTACTGTCGCTTCTGCTGTTAATTTTGCTGCTACTTACCTCTGCCAAGCTATGCTTATTGATGGTACGGCTACAAAGACAGTGGCTATTAGTTATATTTATGATCATACCCTAATATGCCAATCTATAGAGATCTTTATGTGTTTTTTGTATTAATAATTCAGAGTAACTGTGGGAACCGTTTCAATGATTGGGAAGGCGCCGTCTGAACATTAATATATATATATACATATATATATATATATATATATATATATATATATATATATATATATATATATATATATATATATATATATATAAATATAATATATATATAGGTGCACAAGTATATAGGTGTATTAATTAATACATTAATGTATTACCTGTTCATACCTGTTGCCCATTTGCTTGCATTTATCCAATACCCTTTTGAAACTTGTTAGGAGAAGTATAACAATGACATTTTTTTCCTAAATACTAAATTTACACAAAAGCTTAAAATTTATATTGTCAGGCTTCCCCCCCCCCATTGGAGATGTTAAGTAAACAGATGATATGAAAATGTTTTTCATAGTTGTACTAACTAGTTGTAAGTTCTATGAGGGTTACTAGACAAAGACTAGTTCTTCCAAGAGACTGCAGCTCAGAAATCAGAGTGCACCATAAGAGGATGTAATGAATTATCGTGTTAATAAAACATCATCATATTGTCTTGACTGTATTTTTTTTTTTAGTTTAACATTTGTCTCCAATTCCACCTTCCCTCCTGCGCTACGGCGACGACACATCCCCAGGCGACCGCAGGTGTCTGAGGACCGATGACACATCTCTTGGCGACGACAGCACGTCCTCCAAGGGAACAACGAAACAATCGGGCGACGTCTCATTCTCGGATGGCGACAACATTGGCAAGTCTGCAAGTCAATCGTCTCCCCATAATTTTATTGAGTTCGTAATGCAACGGAGATGCCAACAGGCCTGGTACATCCCTCGCTGCAAGTCATGTCTACGATCCACTGGTAACAGTTATTCGCAGTAAACACTAGTTTTACCAACACAAATGCTCAGGTACAGATGAGAGCAGTACGCACATACGAGCCGGGACAAGCACACCGTGTGCTTGGGTAGTTACTGGCCGCGTGTTAATAGTACCACCGAAGTATCAACATAAATATGCAGGTACATTTAACTCCAGTTAGGCAGATGCTAACTGCCAAAGTAATAACATATGTCCGAGGTACTTCTTACATCTAACGTGGCTGGTTAGCGGACCTTCTGACACCCTCTCTGGCTGTGGGTGGAAGGTGAATTGACGCTGGAGCAACTTCCCTGAGAATTGGCGCCCTGATTGTCTCCACTGGGTCCTGGTGAACCCATATCGTGGGACCTGAGATTCCAGCTCCTGCGACCTGCACAACTGATCTGGGAAGTGGGCTGCTCCTCTCGCCGCTGGTGATCTGCTGGATGAAGGGGCTGACATAGGAATAAGGTGAGTCCCTCGGGCTGGCGTATCTCCCTGATACCTTGTGAGACCCGCCGGGCGACCGGGTCTTGGGGTTTGGGATAGATTCCGTCCCATTGTCGCCAGCCGAGGTTGAGGGTTTGTAGATCTCTGAAACCACCATGTAGTAGGGCGGCGGTGGCGCCTCTGTTTTGATCACTTCCTCGTAGGTAGGTGGGTCGTCGCTCGCTTCTTCCACGTCGACAGCTCTTGCAGCGTTGACAAGAGCCTGCGGATAATACAAAAGCAATGGTCAACAATGCACTCCTCTCGCCCCTACACATTTGGTTAATAAAAATAGATGCACATAATAATACTTATGGATTGTATTCAAATTTACATGTTTGCATCACAAACTATGAGAAAACAGTAGTGATTTGCACTACATGGAAAGTAGTGATTTGTATGTGTAATAATTAATTGATTAGACAAAACACATGCCTCTTAGATACAAGATACTAGGCACACAACTGTATATATAGAGCTGATATACATAAAAGTGATAAGATAAGATCTTAACTCTCCATGATAAATAACTATTTTTCTTAACAAGTTCCTTGTGAGCTGTCACATGGAGCTCGTTGCTGGTAAGTGCTCTCACGCGAAGTGCATTTGTTGCATCTCTTATAAACTTGTGCTTAACTGTTATAACTCAGCCATTGAAAGCGTGAGTATCAGCACCAGTCAGAGGTATCTTATCACCCATGAGGATAATTTTCCGTAATATGATATACTATTACATATCTTACAAACAACATGATTAAAAAATTGATATTGAATTGAATTGTGAACACTCACTCTTAGTCTCCAAAGATAATAAGGATAGGAAAAATCATATTAGGCTTTATTTATTTATTCATATTGTTTAATTCCACCCATTCCCTCCTTTTTTTGGTGCGTTCTAAATTCAGTACAAGTAAATGTTTACGGAAGACTGATATTCATGCGTGTATAATCAAGACGTGTTACTAAAATGCATAACAGCACACTGTGAACTATATGTGTTATATCGGGTTCTTCTTTTTAAAAACTGATAGGTTGCTTAATCTGAATATTTTTCTACAAATACATTTCTCAATATTCATCTCTTCCTGTCCTTATACAATATATCTAGCCAGATACTGCCATGATTATATTATGTGCATTCTTAATTTTTCTGTATTTCACTTCAATATCGATCACATTGAACTTCATGAAATCAACTTAAATATATACTTTTATATAAAGCTTTTATTGTTTTCATTCAATTTACAATAACCAACTTTATTCTTCTAACAAATAAAAATATATGCATATTAGTCTTAATTTAATTACATTGATCCTATTTATTGTTATCCCAAATTTTCCATAGATTCAACTGTTCATTGGTGGAAGAGTTTCATGAATATATCTATGTAAATGTTCTCATTGTTGTGAAGCAATACATTTCACAGCTAGAAAGTGAAGGAACGACGACGTTTCGGTCCGTCCAGGACCATTCTCAAGTTGATTGTGAGAATCGACTTGAGAATGGTCCAGGACAGACCGAAACGTCGTCGTCCCTTCACTTTCTAGTGTGTTGTTTGGTCAACATATTTCAGCCACGTTATTGTGACTCCTCGTCTCCGAATATGATTTATTTTATTTGTATATATATTTTTTTATATATACAAGAGTTCTTACATTTTTGTACAGCCACTAGCACGCATAGCGTTTCGGGGAAGGCCTTGATAATCGCACAGGGATAAATGTTTGCAAATTAGACACTCAACCAACAAGTTGTTCTTATTCAACAACACAGTATGGCTATCTATATTATTTCCCCAGTTTGAATAAATTGGAGTACTAAACTTCGCGAAGCACGATAGATTTCAACGTATTAGATGACTATTACTGTCCTGAATGTATTACTGTGGCTATTCTTACCTCTTTTATTATCATTTAAATTGAGGCTACAGCGCGTTATCATTTGAGACTGGCAGCCTAGTTTTTATTAGACAATATATACACATTTAACCATTGTACACTATTAGGGAGGACCGCTGTTCGGAACGTAACAGCTAGTACGGAATGATAGTGTATAATGAGTGTATGGGAGTAGGCCACGAGAGGCGAGGCTTGATTTTCCTGGTTTAGCAATAGGAAAGTTTAATCAATCGTCAATCGTGGAAGGGTTATTAAGGCAACTAAAATAACAGAACCAACCTGCAAATATAATTTTGTTCTGATTACAGTTCAGGATTAAAATAGAATAAGCTACGAGTGTATATACACAAGAAGCCGCACACAATACCTTTCTGTGTATATGCCAGTTGACCAGTAGGTCACCATGGAGATAGCATGGAGGAAGTGAAGTGGATCACTGTGATGTCGAGTGGCCGAACACCAATAACGCAAAACAAGATTATTTAGATTTATTGACCGTTTTGGACGTGTGTTCGATCTAATTTCACACCAATCTATTTTTCCTCTACTACATCTATTTCTCTCTAACACTCGCACAGACACACACATTCCCAGGCCGTAGCAGCTGTCAAACTCCCAGGTATCTATTTACTGCTATGTGAACAAGCGCATCAGGGTGAAACAAACTTTGCCCATTTTATTTACTTATTTATTTTTATTTATTTATTTATATTTGTATTCATTTGTATCCGCCTTCGCCAGGAATCCAACCCAGGATATTAGGACTACGATCCCTAAATGCTATCCACTCAGCCGCGAGGCCTGTTTTGTGTATTCACCTAGTTGTGCTTGCGGGGGTTGAGCTCTGGCTCTTTGGTTCCGTGTGTGTGTGTGTACTCACCTTGTGTGTGTGTGTGTGTAATTACCTAAGTGTAGTTACAGGATGAGAGCTACACTCGTGGTGTCCCGTCTTCACACCACTCTGTCATGTGTGTGTGCGTGTGTGTGTGTGCCCGTTGTTTATGACGGGGGACCTCCACACAAACCAAATATATCTATAGCTAACCAGCGGCATTAGATGAAAGGAAACGCGTTCAAGCATTTCTGTCACGCCCGAGAATCGAACCCAGGATTCCCAATTATGAGTCGGGAACGAGGTAATCTGTTATCCGAGACCTTGAGTAGGACGGCACGATTGGGCAACGATTTTCCCTGATTTTCCCCAGCAGTAATTGGAGACTAAGAGAGTGGGGACATTTGACGACTCTTGCAGCATCCTTGAACTTGACTTGCACTCATATCTGGCTCAACACTCCTGTTTTTATAGTGATAACGTGTGATTATATGTGGAGCCTTTTCTAACCCATCCAAGCAGCTCCCACCCCCTCCATTTGTCTGTCTGTCTGTCTGTCTGTCTGTCTGTCTGTCTGTCTGTCTGTCTGTCTGTCTGTCTGTCTGTCTGTCTGTCTGTCTGTCTCTCTCTCTCTCTCTCTCTCTCTCTCTCTCTCTCTCTCTCTCTCTCTCTCTCTCTCTCTCTCTCTCTCTCTCTCTCTCTCTCTCTCTCTCTCTCTCTCTCTCTCTCTCTCTCTCTCTCTCTCTCTCTCTCTTCTTTCTCTTTCTCTCTCTCTCTCTCTCTCTTTCTCTCTCTCTCTCTCTCTCTCTCTCTCTCTCTCTCTCTCTCTCTCTCTCTCTCTCTCTCTCTCTCTCTCTCTCTCTCTCTCTCTCTCTCTCTCTCTCTCTCTCTCTCTCTCTCTCTGCTCTGTCCACAGAGCATTCTCTCTCTCAAATCATATACACTGATGGTTCCCTACACCGAACCACGGGTGCAGCTGGAAGTGCAGTTGTCCTGACAATGGGCGATGGCTTATACTTTGAGTGGGGAGTCCGTATAAACAACTGGGCCTCTACCCTTCAGACTGAACTATTTGCCTTGCTCCTTGCACTGAAATGTGTACAAGTCTCCAAACTTGATACATTAATTGTGACTCTTTATCATCCTTAAATGCTCTCAACTCTTTAAGACATAACTGTTACATGCTCGTGTCCGAAGCTAGACCCAAATACAACAAAATTATTAATGATGGTAACGGAGTCCATTTCATGTGGTCTCCATCTCATGTTGGCCTCCGAATGCATGATAGAGCTGATAAGTTAGCCAAAGAATCTGCCTTTAAAGGAAACGTTGAGTGTAACTTTCGATTGTCAATGAACAATCTGAGAGCAGCAGTACACCAAGAACTTCAACAAAACCTTGTAGATCTGAGGCAAAGTGAAATTGACACCAGTAATTCCATCCAACAAATGGCTACTAGAGTTTAACTCGAGCAAGTGCAAAGTGATGAAGATAGGCTTAGGGAGCAAGAGGCCAAACATAGGTATCACCTGGGAGAGGAAATCCTTCAGGAGCTAGGAAGAGAGAAACATCTGTGGGTTGATATCACACTAGACCTGTCCCCTGAAGCCTACATCAAAAGGTAGAACCTTGTATACCTCATATGTCAGACCAATACTGGAATATGCGGCTCCAGCGTGGAGTCCATATCTAGTCAAACACAAAAGGAAGTTAGAAAAGGTTCAGAGGTATGCCTGGAGGCTAGTCCTCGAGATGAGGAGTATGAGCTATGAGAAAAGATTACTGGAACTAAACCTCAAGACACTGGAAGACAGAGGCGTTAAGGGAGACATATGATCACCACCTATAAAATTCTCAGAGGAATTGACAGGGTAGATAAACTGTTTAACACGGGTAGTACGCGAACAATGGGACACAGGTGGAAGAGAGTACCTAAATGAGCCACAGAGACGTTAGAAAGAACTTTTTCAGTGTCAGAGTAGTTAACAGATGGAATGCACTAGGCAGTGATGTGGTGGAGGCTGACTCCATACACAGTTTCAAGTGTAGATATGATAGAGCCCAGTAGGCTCAGGAACCTGTACACCAGTTGATGAACAGTTGAGAGGCGGGAGCAAAGAGCCAGAGCTCAACCCCCACAAGCACAACTAGGTGAGTACCACCACAGGGATACCAACACCACGACAGGTATTCCATTAATCATTTGTTACCTTCACAGTTATTTGTTTTTTATTTTTTATTTTATTTATATAAGTTTATATATATATATATATATTTATATAATATTTTTATTATTTATATTTATTATTTTTATATTTCGGGCAGCGTTTCGGCTGCCCGAAGAGTTGTTACATTCTTGTACAGCCACCAGCACGCGTAGCGTTTTGGGTCGTCCTTAATACCTAATTTCCCCTGGAATACAACCCGCCAAATCGTTTAACAACTAGGAACCCATTCACTGCTGGGTGAACAGAGGCTACAGTTAAGGATTGGCGCCCAGTCAATCCTCCCAGGTCAGGGATACGAACCCAGGCTAAATCGCTCGCGAAGCGCCGGCCGAGTGTCTTACCACTGCGCCACGGGGAGTATTCTATACATTGTTATATAAATACTTATTTTGTATTATCTTTATGGGTACTTTCAAATCATCACCATGACCAACCTCATCACTATCTCTACCATCATCACCACCATCTTTATCACCATCATCACCACCACCATTATCACCATCACCGCCATCATTATCACCATCACCACCACCATCATCACCATCATCATCACCACCATCACCATCATCACCACTATTACCATCATTATCATCACCACACCTTCATCGTTATCACCACCATCTTTATCACCATCATCACCACCACCATTATCACCATCACCGCCATCATTATCACCATCACCGCCATCATTATCACCATCACCACCATCATTATCACCATCACCACCAACATCACCACCACCATCATCACCACCATCATCACCATCACCACCACCATCATCACCACCATCACCATCATCATCACCACCACCACCATCACCACCATCATCACCATCATCATCACCATCATCATCACCATCATCACCACTATTACCATCATTATCACCACCATCATCACCACTACCACCATTAACAATCGTGTTGTTTATAACACCAGAGGATAAACAATCCTGTAGTGTTGTATCCCCTTCTCAGCCAACTGAAAACAATCATTGTTTACATACAGATCAAACTCTAACCAGTTTATTGACAATTTAATCATCAATTGTATGCCATCATACACACTTGTATTCCATTAGCTGAAGGTATCATACAAGCCTTTAGGTTTTAGTTTTGTTTATTAATTATTTACATATTGTGTAAGTTCTTTTATTTATTCCTTAATTAAATCTTTCACTTCATACGTGAATATGAATATAATACTAATTCATTGTATTGGCAAGTCTGGGTTAAATGGGAGCTCTTGTAGGTCGAGTTGATTGTCACCTCGTCCTCTATGATTGTCACCTCGATCTCTATGATTGTCACCTTGCACCTTGTTCTTCGTGACTGTCACCTTACCCTCTATGAATGTCACCTTATCTTCCACAATAACCACATAGGCGACTGATCCAAGTAATATTTCACACGAAGAGATGGAACGCAAGAAGAAAAGAAACTGTTAACTGAATAGCGAGATAAGAAATAACACCAGATTGCTTATCAAACGTTACGTGATCTTATCGTGTTCCTGAAGACGACGCACCCACGACGACGACGACAAGTCTCGACCAGTGGCTGGACCGGTGGCTGGACCAGTGGCTGGACCAGAGGCTCCACCAGTGGCAACAAAGGGGGGCGGTGGTAACAAGGACTGGTGGTTAGGGAGAGTATCTGGGTAGTTTCCCAGATGCAACACAGACCGAACGAGTCTCTCACCGTCTGGCTAATGAATCCCAGCTGCGGTCAGACTTTTAAGGCGCCTTTACGGCTGGACTTACACGCTTTCAGCCGCCGCAAGACGAGAGGAGTTATAGATGTCAGTCGCCGCAAGACAAAGAAAGCTAGAGTCCACATGCAGCAAAACAAGTGGAAGTTAGGTTCCAGGCGCCAAAACAAGAAAGGTTATGTTCCTGGCACCGCAAGACGAGATAAGTTAAGTTCCAGACGCCGTAAGACTATTATCTTTTGTAATCCATCAAGAGTTGACTATTACCTTCTGTAATACATCAGGAGTTGAACATAACTCCAAGCAGCAGTTAAGAGTTGGCAATATCTTCCCGTAAAAAGGCCAAGAGTTGACTATTACCTCCTGAAGAGTTACAGTCCCGCTCCTGTGCCAAGTAAGTCCACTACGGGCTCACCATAGCCCGTGCTACTTGCAACTTTTTGTTCCGAGTAGCGGAATCTAAAACAACAACAACAACATACCTCCTGAAATACGTTAAGAGGTACTAAAACTTCCTGTAATAAGTTAAGATTTACTAAAACCTCCTGTAACACATCAAGAGTTGGCTCTAACCCCCTGTATGTAACGCGTCAAGTGGAACTTCAACGGTAAACATTACTTATCAGGGAGGGGCCTGATCTGTAGATAGAGTGCCCTAAGGGTGAAAATTAGTTGCCTCCCACGCAAGGCGGATGTAAACACATACTCCGTCTGCCTTACAAAGAGAGGAGAAAAAAATAGCCATCTCACAAAATATATTAGTCTCTCCGAAAACAAAAAGTCTGAAGAATACGTGAGTGTTTGACAGCGGGTGCATGAGGCTACAATCTCGCTTATGACCACTAATATCATTGTCGAAACTCGCCTTGCACCACTAGGACATGTATTCGAGGAGATAAGTGGTATCTAGCAGGGGTCTGAGTCAGTCACCGGTCAAGACGACAGCGATAAACACACTCTACTCAATACGCTGCCTAATATGGAAATGATTGCTATTTGGTAAGAGGCGAAAACGAAACGGGTTCCGCAGTAACTCTCTGTGGGGCCAGCCAGAGGCTTAGGGGCCCCGCGCAGGAATATCCCTGCAAAACAATAATAAAAAGGTAGCAGTGATGTAAAAGAAGACCCGTGGTAGGGTAATACAGGGACCCCAGGGTCAGTAGAGAGGGCAGACGAACAAGACCTCCGGGGTCAGTGACAAGCCGGTCTAACATATCTTATCAAAGCATGGCATTTCTTATGTACACCGCTCCAGTATATACGTTTACTGTTAGTCAATAATTAATGTCGGCAGAATTACTCTCTGTTGCCACCCCCACCACCCCAAATGTTACTCTACCTTCCGCAACCCTTGCTATAGCTACCACAACTCTTGCTATAGCTACCACAACTCTTGCTATAGCTACCACAACCCTTGCTATAGCTACCACAACCCTTGCTATAGCTACCACAACCCTTGCTATAGCTACCACAACTCTTGTTATAGCTACCACAACCCTTGCTATAGCTACCACAACTCTTGCTATAGCTACCACAACCCTTGCTATAGCTACCACAATCCTTGCTATAGCTACCAGAATCCTTGCTATAGCTACCGTAACCCTTGCTATAGCTACCACAACCCTTGCTATAGCTACCACAACCCTTGCTATATCTACCACAACCGATAATCCACATCATGGGGATTCCCCTCCCCCACTCCCCACCTACCACACTGTAGCTACTCATCACTTCTACAAAATGTTGTTCACTCCCCCACCCCCAACCCATTGGGCTGGACGATAGAGCGACGGTCTCGCTTCATGCAGGTCGGCGTTCAATCCCTGATCATCCAAGTGGTTGGCCACCATTCCTTCCCCGGCCGTCCCATCCCAAATCCTTATCCTGATCCCTTCCCAGTGCTATGTAGTCGTAATTGCTTGGCGCTTTCTCCTGACAATTCCCTCCCTCCCCCCCCCCCCCCCGCAACTGGTCACTTCTACAACATTGTACATTATTCATCTCTTCGACATTAGTGTTTTTATTTGTGCGTACCTCCGCGGGATATTAGTCTCATGATGCGATAACATGCGAGGATATTGGCAAAACAGATAACAGGAGACCCACCGGTCCGTGATAGTTATCTGCTGTGTGAGGAGGATGATAGCTAATTTCACTTCCAAGTATCTTTCATACTTTCAGGGTCTCGGTAGTACAGTTGGGTTCGTTCTCGCTCTCGAACCACGGGAATCAAGGGTTCGAATACTGAGCAGGACAGAAATGGTTACGCACTTTTCCTTTCACCTAATGCCTCTGTTTACCTAGCAATAAATTGGAACCCGGTAGTTAAGTCAGCTTGTTGCGGGGTTGCATCCTGGGGATGGTCAGTAATTGGCAAAACGTGTACGAATACACTCTGGCTTCCTATCCTCCGACACAATGAATTACAATTATCATTATACAGCACCTTAGTGTATTATGTACGTTAAAGAGAGCATTTCCAGCTTGAACTTGAACCAAAGTCCAGAATTAAACTTGAACCGTTATAGTACCAGTAAAGCTTGAGCAGCTACACTTCAGCAAGAAAACGTGCCCTAACATGGCGCACATTCCTGGTACTGATCAGTCGGCTGTGAGCCAGCCGTCTGTGTTAATCACTGTGGCTGGTCCTCTCCTCCGTTGCCACCACCACCAGCTTATAACCGCGGACCCTCAACAGGCGCCACAATAGGCTACCGGCAACGCTGCTAGGAAAAGCATCCTCCAGCACACCCTTTACGGCAGAGGGAGGGAGCTGATGTCCTCTACAATAAGGCTGTAATTTGAAACGATGTTTCCTCCACTTGGGGAGCAATGAAGTATGACCCACCAACGACCCGATCACCCAACCACTCCTTTACCCCACCGTTGACCACTACCACAGGTACAGGTAAATACCTCACTTCTACAGTGATCAATACAGATCAATTTCATAATTTATTCAAGAGATTTGTAACTATATGGATTACACACACACAGTTATGGGAACAAAAGTGCAATGGCGTACTGGTCAATGTGATAACACACAGAAACAGAAAAACACAGAAATGATACACTGAATATTTTGATCTCTAATCTGAGAGACACCAGCAGAATAAAGAGAGAAGCCGTTTATATAAGAAATGGGAAAGACCCGGTTATTCTAAGTCAGGTCAACGTCCCTTCCTAAGCTCCAGGTAACAGCCTACGAAAGGCATAATGGTCGACAGCCTCAGGTAGCCATTGACCTTGACAGATAATGAAGTTTGAAGTATTATTTCCATATGAAGTCTTCTATTTTTCGTTTTAATTATATTTTTGAGGCTTCGCAATATTAAAATTCTGCCAATCTATTTTATATAGTCTTTTAATGGACGAAAGATTGGGGGATGTAATTTATTGCTGAAAAAATGAAGGGTTGTGAGCGCAGGTAATGATGATACAGGTGCCAAATATCAGTTAAACAATGTTTAAATTGCGAAATCTTAATACGAAAAATATCTAGATGTTAATAATTAGTAAGGATTTTAATTATGCCAGCAAATCAATGTACCAATATACGGAATAAGGCAAATACGCTACTGGGATTTATTTACAAAAGTGTTTACAATAAATTATCTAGCAAGGATATATATTCAGCGAGAGGTATACACAGGTTTAATATAATTTTACGACTAGGTCACAAAGATTAAGCAAGAAAGAGAAGGGTCGGCAGACTGCATTTTCTTGGACTCTTGGAAAGTCTTTGACACAGTACTCCATAAGAGGCTGGTGCATAAGTTGGAAAAACAGGCAAGAGTAACTGGTAAGGTGCTCCAGTGGATAAGGGCGAACCTAAGTAATAGGAAGCATAGAGTTACGGTGAGGGGTGAGACCTCAGAATGGCGTGAAGTCACCAGTGGAGTTCCAGTGTTCTGTACTTGGACCTATTCTGTTTCTGATATATGTAAATGATCTTTCAGAAGGTATATACTCATTCATCTCAATGTTTGCTGATGATGCCAAAATTATGAGAAAGATTAAGACAGGAGGACAGCTTGAGGCTTCAAGATGACCTGTACAAACTGAAGGAATGGTCCAATAAATGGTTGCTAGAGTTTAACCCAAGCAAATTTAAAGTAATGAAAGTGGGTTTAGGAAGCAGGAGGTACCATTTAGGAGATTAAATTCTTCAAGAATCAGAGTGAGAAAGACCTGGGGGTTGATATCAGGGCAGACCTGTTCCCTGAAGCCTATATCAAGAGGATATCATCAGCGGCATATGCTAGGTTGGCCAACATAAGAACGGCCTTTAGAAACTTGCGTACGGAAACATTCAGAACTTTGTATACTACATATGTCAGACCAATCCTGGAGTATGCAGCTCCAGCATGGAGTCCGTATTTCGTCAAGCACAAGACTAAATCGGAGAAGGTTCAGAGATATACCACCAGACTAGTACCCGAGCTGAGGGGTATGAGCTACGAGAAGAAATTACGGGAACTAATGAACAAAGTTCATTAGTTCTACGAGAACTAAACCTCACGTCGCTGGAAAAAGGAAGCGTTTGGGGAGACATGATCACCACATGCAAGATTCTCAGAGGAATTGAATGGGTAGATAAAAAACAATTTATTTAACACAGGGGGGGGGGAGACACATGCACAAGGGGACACAGGTGGAAACTGAGTACCCATATGAGCCATAGAGATATTAGAAATAACTTTTTAGTGTCAGATTAGTTAACAGATGGACTGCATTAGAAAGTGATGTGGTGGAGGCTGACTCCATACATAGTTTCAAATGTAGATATGATAGGGCCTAATAGGCTCAGGAATCTGTACACCAGTTGATTGACTGTTGAGAGGCGGGACCAAAGAGCCGGAGCTCAACCCCTGCAAACACAAGTAGGTGAGTACAGCTTCTCGGTATATATACTCTTATTTTAGTCCTGGACTATGTGCGGGACTGGCTGGTCAGTAAGCTGTTGTGGTTGCTTCAATAATCCTTCAGAGTTATTAAGCATTATTATAGGCATTATAGGCATCAGAGTTATTATAGACCCAACACCAAACTAATCATCTAAGATCTTAGGGAAGAATTCACTGAAAGGTGTACTCCCGCGTCTTAGTACATGTACGCCAATGAGTTACTTTAGTCCTGGACAATGTTCAGGCCTACAGTATACTTTCTGGCTGGTCAGTACGCTTGTATAATGACCTTAATAACGGTTGATAGGCCTTAATTAAGTCCTAACACCAAACTTAACATCTAATGTTATTCTTCAACTTGATAGGCCCCAATCTCATGTTAGGCTTCTTTTTAAATTACACTTCACTTTTGGTTGTCGGTCTATGGATTGGACACTCGTCTCATTTGAGAGAGAAGAGATGTATTCTTTATATTTAGAGTTTAGTGCAAGAGTTTAGTGCAGTTGGAGCTGGTTGTGTTCAGGGTTCCCTTCCCTGGGCACCTACATTCTACATACATCAAAATTCATTTGAACGTGTACCGGTAAGAATGGCAACGGTAAACCCGGGAATTAAGAGGCTTCTCATTTGAAGAGAGATTTAGACAGCTTAATTTACATTTCTTGAAAGGTGAACAGAAAGGGGTGGCATGATTGAAGTATAGAAATGGATGACAGGGTATAACAAAGGGGATGTCAATAGTGACAATATATCAGCAAAAAATCGAACACGAAACAATGGCTACTAACTGGATAAGTTTAGATTCAGAAAATGAATCATGGGTAAATATTGGTTTTGGATTACTGCTGTTGAATTACGGAACAAACCAAACCATAAACAAATGTTTATTTCCAAGGAAGTGTGGATGACAATTTATATAAACCATATTGGTTACGTAACAGACGCGGGATCACTAGATTGTTTTAATTGAAGGTTCGACACACTGTGTCTCTGGATAAGTTTGGTTAGGGATAAACAAGATCTGCCTCGCGTGGGTAGTTTCATTTAATCTTATGCTCTTACGTTCTAATGTTCTAGATTGGTTACTTCCCATTCCTTGCACAAGATACTCCTGTCACTGTTATTATTCTCCGGTATAGTGTCTCAGTTTGGAGCCCGAATATTCAGTGTTTCATTTCACGGTTTCTCGATTCACTTGTAGAAAGAATCGAAAGAGAGAAAAAAACTCTTCATTTCTGGCAGAGGTTTAAGAAGGAAATAATGCCCTTCACGCCTGCCAGGGGTAGAAGAAGGGAACACGCCTCTGCACTCCTGCCAGGGGTGGAAGGAGGGAACACGCCGTCACTCCTGCCAGGGGTGGAAGGAGGGAACACTCCGTCACTCCTGCCAGGGGTGGAAGGAGGGAACACTTTCCTTCACGCCTGCCAGGGCGGGAAGGAGGGAACACTCCGTCACTCCTGCCAGGGGTGGAAGGAGGGAACACTCCGTCACTCCTGCCAGGGGTGGAAGGAGGGAACACTCCGTCACTCCTGCCAGGGGTGGAAGGAGGGAACACTCCGTCACTCCTGCCAGGGGTGGAAGGAGGGAACACTCCGTCACTCCTGCCAGGGCGGGTAGGAGGGGACACTCCGTCACTCCTGCCAGGGCGGGTAGGAGGGGACACTCCGTCACTCCTGCCAGGGCGGGAAGGGACAGCGTTTCCTCACGTAGAGAACATGTTCCTAACACTAGATCACTCATCACATAATATTCACATAATCATCACATAGTATTCACACTGTTAAGAGTAATAGCATGTAAACAGTGGCGAGGGCGGCTCTTGGGGCAACTGAGGCGGCTCAAAGTGGCTTGTGGCGGCGGTGATCTTGAAGGGACTGGCTGGCTGCTTGCTGGAGTAATTCACTACCACCAATGCATTTCCTGCTCCATCATCAGCTGACCAACAGCCTCCAGTTGAGCCATCCTCCACCACTCCACAGCGTTCCCTGCCCTTCTTCATCTCTCCACTCCGTCTGTGGAAACATTTAAAAATGTTAACGCAAAGGGATTACGAAACAATGAAATTTTCTCTACCTGTTGATGATTGGTAAGAATGCTCTTGGTCCTGAAGTACCAGTAGATGGCCTGAGCCCCGCAGAAGAACACCACCGACATGAGGATGACAGCTTTCCAGTTCTGTTGCAAGATGAAGACAGCAATGAGGGCGAGGTCGGCGAGCAAGAGCAGGGGCGAGACCACCGCAGCAACCACGGGAGGCCTCAACGCCAGCCTCCACGACACAACGTTCTCCTGATCCATCGTCGACATAAAACTTAACGCAATCAGCAGCCTCTCCTGGAACAACTTGGACTACCTTTACCTGTATTTTATATAATTTATTTGAGAACGGATATACAGGTAGGGTATAGGTCATTCCAAATTAGCAGCGGATGCAAAGGTGATGCTTTCTCTGTGCTGCATGGAACTGTACTGTTGGAGGGCGCGACCCGTCACCCAGGGAGGTGGACTACTTGGAGTAACTTGCGCATGCGCACTCCAGGCATGACCCACTGGGTGTCCCGTGACGTCACGGTCCCACTCTCCACCACCCTCCTGGCAAACACCTCAGGTCCCACATCCCACTGATAATAAACACAGTCTATAGATAAGGCTTTGACTCATACACACACACACACACTTAACTGCAAAAGTACGTTATTTCCAAAGACACACACACACACACTTGTGTTATTTCTAGAACTGTATACATATACAGTACAGGCGTTCGCCAAGAGATTGGTTACTGGCACAGGCTAGGTGTCACACAGCCAGGGTGTCACACAGCCAGAGTGCCGCACAAAGTGCCACACAGCCAAAGTGCCACATACAGGAGCTAGTGGAGGCACATGGCTGGCGGTCTTCGTAAGCTCAATCGTGTCAATCACGATTCTTTAACCACACACACACACACACACACACACACACACACACACACACACACACACACACACACACACACACACACACACACACACATACATATATATATTTCAACTTCAAGAAAAAGCATATATGGAAATATATTAATTACAATTACGATAGTTTCTCAAGCCAGGATTAGTCGGAAATACCAAAGTGCTTGAAGGAGAAACTGTCCAGATAAACTATTTAATTCTTCTCGAAATGCATAGTTTCCTGAGTAGTCAAGTCCTTACATGTGCATTTTTTTAATGCTGAATGTTCCCCCTCCTCGTTAATTAATAGTTGATGTTCAACACACGCCATACGTCCCAACTCCTATAATAATAATAATAATGATAATAATAATAATAATAATAATAATAATAATAATAATAATAATAATAATAATAATAAAATAAAATAAAACATATGTTGCATTGTTTACACATATAGGAAGCATCTACTGACCGATATCGACGTGTTCTGTCGCAAAATTTTCCACTATACCAGATCGCGACATTTTAATTTTAATCACCGGATCTGCTTAGATTTTGTGTCAGATATTTACATGTACGCATTCTTATATACATATACATACACATGCGCCCACGTCAGACGTAAATGTATAGCTTCTATTTAAGCATCTGTGCTCACCCGGTTGTGCTCATTTAGTCGTGCTTCAGCTCTTGTGTCTTGAATCTCAATCGACCAGAGTACAAATTTAAGAACCTATTTTTCTTTACTAGACAAGATGAAAGAATAATTATTCATAATGATTTCGTGGCAAAAAAAGGGTTATGGTGAATTGTTCAACTTAAGGATTCTGTTTAGAGAGAACCTTATTTAGAACAACTGCTGTGAAATGGATGTTGCTAGCTTAAGTTATTAAGTACAAATGCCTATGAAAATATCTGAAGTGGACAACCTATCCTCCAGCCAAACCTATAAGTCTACTTAACTTACTAACTTAGTTTTTAGTAAGTCAGTATTTGACCTTTACAGTAGATAACCAATTGACAGGATGACTCTTCCATACACTATAATAGCAAAGTGTTTTCTGAAACATAAATTAATATTATTATATATTGTGGAGCTATGCATATTTATAAGGGCATTGGATATCCCCCTGAGTGGAATTGCAGCCAACATTGGTCCGCTCCAGTCAGGATAATGTCAGTCAACGGGCACCCATTCCCGCAGCCTATCAACCGCGTTATCTTCGTTATCGAAATTATTTTACTAATTATCAATCCATTAATCTGTGATAGAGATAGAGTTGCCGTGGTAAGGTCTTGTTTATCTAGCCTCGTCCCACCACTCTGCACGGACGTTGCTTATGTATATTGCTACGCTACTCGCATATTATTATTATTGTTACCATTAATGATTTTGTTGTTCGTATTGATAATTTTGTGATGGTCTTCAGATGCCCTGGAGATAGACAGACAAGTATAAAGATAAACAAACATATATGCAGTAGATAGGACAGCAGAAGGACAAACATACAAATTGGCAGACAGACTGACAGACAGACACAGAAGATAGGAACATGATAAATAATGACAGTCACTCGAAACAATGGGTTTAAAATTAAAGGCAAACGTTTTTACACAAACAGTGCAAAGTACTATTTATTAATCGAAGAGTAAAAATATAGAATAGAAAAAAAATTATGCAATCCCGTACAATATTTTTTTACCGCCGTAAGATTTCCATAAATAAAGAGCCTAGTGCGGATCTGTTGTTTAAATTCATTTGTTAGACTCTATATATATCTCAATACTTCGGACAGTCATCTTATTCTCTAATGTTTTATTCTGATGGTTCTATATCTGTTTGTTTCTCAAAGACAATCTCTTCAATACCCGAAACTGAAGGCGTTGCTTAGTCCCAATAGCTGTTTTCCTGGGAGAGGTTAACACTTCCATGGATATTGCTTTCAGGAGTTTATCATACTCTCTTATCTTTAGGCTGTCGATAGTGGATGCGGACCACAAACGTAGCTCTCATCCTGAAATACACTCATGTAGTTACACCTTAGAAAAAGGTGGAGCTGGTTATAGTCAGGCACCTTGTGAAGAGGTTTAAAGCACAGTGGGCAATCAAAACACCTATTATTATTTTCCTCCTTAGGCGGTTCAGTTTTCTTCAACGGATTGTCGTTCTGTTATCCTCTGAATAAGAAACCCAAAGACGTCCAGACGCTGTCTGTGAAGAGATAATTAAGGCTCCTAATAAATCGGATTTTACTGCATCTATGATTGATTGATTAGATAAAATGATTTCCACATTTGAGAATAATGATGGCGAGCCCAGACTCTGTCCACTAGATTTTTCCAACTATAGGCCATCTATAGTTGGGACTCTAGTATAACTTCCAGAGTGCCCTCATCCAGGAACATGTTAAGCATACTGGTCATCCTGCTTGTGACCTAACAGCTACGCACAAGTGGAAAGGAGCGAAGGGGATATACCCTACTGAACACTTTCATGCTCCCAAACAAGTGTTGACCAGATAAAACGAAGGGGGAAAAGACTAGAGAGGCTTGTTCGAATTGCTCCCAATGCCACATCTCTGTTTCCATACATGAAACCATAGCAAATTTTCGCCCCTTACGTTGGTTTGGCTACCCAAGAAGCGTAATATTATCAGAATCAGCGTGTGAAGTGACATAATGTCTGAAATCTCTGTGATAAGGAACTGTAGTGGAAATGTCTCGGACGGGACTCTGCCCAACATAATGATACTCCACAGTTTGCTCTCTACCTCCGCTGTTTCGATGTCTGGCTTGTGTTCCTGTTCCCCTCCACTTGTTTCCAGGAGTTATGAGGTCGAAATAGAAGGATAATTCATTACAATGGTATTGCGTCACATAGAGTAGTTTATTCCATGCAGTGAAGAAAACTGCACTGTCAACAATGGTAGGAACATACAAATTCTTGGTGACTCATTGTCACTCAGGTCTGATAGGAGAGAAATTACTGACTCCCAACGACCTGAAAGCACCAGTATAAAAAGCTATGATTTGTTCAGATCTGAAACCTATGTTTATGGGCAACACAAAACGTCAACCAGACTGTGCAACACAGTCTTTGCCAGGATCAGGTTGGGTTACCGTTACTTGTTATGGCTGGGTTACCTGTATATCCGTTCTCAAAATCCATGTATACTACATCCACCGGACGTCTTTTGTCTGAGTACCTGCTAGCTGGTAGAAGTTACATATGAGTTCCAAAATATCACTGGAATGACAGGGCTGGATATATGGGCAGAAAACTCTCACATCTTGGTAAAATGATATTGAAGGTGATTTAAATTTTAGAAAAGTAAATTTTAAAAACATTAGCAGAAAATGCTGAGGTTGAAGAGTTCTTTTTAAATCATTTGCGGACTGCATTCTCAAATAATTGTATTCAGTCAAGTAGAAAAATAATGTATTAGATCTAGTGGCAGCAAAGCAGGAGTTGGTAATAAACAATACCGTATCCCAATACAGAGTCAATTAAGGAAAATTTAATATGAAGAAATCATGTTTAACATCTCGTGGAGTTATTGTGTAATAGATAGCTTTGTCAGTCACGGGTTTTCGTAACGCTGTTTATACTGATTTAGGACAAGACCTAATGGGAATAGATTAGGCAATCTTACACGCATTGGGGGGATATCTCTGAGAGAAGACTTGACTCCAAGCAGTTATTAATTACTGTCTTATATATTATAATATTAACCAATAAAGATAAGTCGTAAATATATTCAAAACATACACTGCTGAGCCTAATGAACAATAGTTTTCAGCTATATTAAATATTGTCATTTCTCTACTTCCCGAAAGATACATATCTGATCTTAGTATCAGACAAAACGTATTCTATTTTGCAGCCTCAGGTTATGATACCACAGACAAACGAAAATAATATATATAAAATAGAGAAAATAACTTCTTATATAAGCAATTTCATTCCGACTAGTGGGACTTGTCAAGATAAACAGTGTTGCCAGATTGGGCTACAAATAGCGAATTGGGCTACTTTTGAGAGCCCCGCGCTCCCAAATTTTTAATTTCGCTACTTGCTACTTTTTTGGGCTAAGCAAGATGTGCTAATTTGGGCTATTAAAGTTAAGAATGTACAATTGCGAGTTACACGAAAGTAACTAAGCTATAAATAATTGTAATTAATAATAATTGTAAATATTAATTAATACTAAATAATATTATTTAATAAATTAGTCCCAATTCAATACAGAGTTTTCTTCCAAGCACAGAAACTTGTAAATATAAATACAAGATAATAGATCGATAAATAAATAGACAACTTTCAAATATTGCACCAAGTAATGGCGAAAGGAAAAAAACTAGACAGTATACATTACATTTGAAATTAATAATGGATGAATGGTAATAAATTGGTGTATGTTTGGATGTAAACCAGACAAAGTCCATTTAATGGCAGAATTTAGCCATTTTGTGTAAAAACTTTTATATCTCATATTATTAATTATAACAGTAATCGAAAAAAGTCAAAGTTTGTATATACAAGAGATGAAACAGCAAGCCATGAGCTAGAGCGATGTGCTGAGTCCATAAGGAGGCCGAGCTTCCAGAAATACCTTCCTGTGAT